TGAAATGGGCCTTGTCCAGGCTCAGCTAGAAACTGCGGACCAGCAGCTGCGCACCAGCCGGGCCAGAGAGAAGCAGCTGGAAAGCAGGCCTGAGAATGGACTTTTGTCAACATTGGTCGGCAAATGCAGCAGCAACAGGTGTGGCCATGCATCGATGCTCTCTTGCGAGTATAGTCATAAAGTTCGAACCAGCCAGAGGCTCGCAGAGCTCAGCAAGGATGCGCCCCGTGCCGCCGTCCTGCAGCCAGCGGATGTGAATGCCACATAGTCTAATAGAGTCACATGGATCGAGATATGTGCCACATGCATACGTACATGTCTAGAGGTAGCCCACTCTATCCATGTGGGCGTGGCCGACTCTAGGCCTGGTGCAAGTGCTGTAGGCGAGGGATCTCAGCAGAAGGCATGGGTCGTTTGGGATTCCTAGCCCATGCTGAAAAAAACCTACCGAGAACTGTTGCTGTTTCAGGCTGTTTTCAGATCGTGATGTTATTGCGACGGATTGCAACTGCGACGTCTCAACAGTGCCAACAGCCATGCATGGGGGTGGGTGGTCTAGCGTGTCGATTTCGTCTATGAACATGCCAGATCCCATGCGGAGGCAAGGGCACCCACCCACAAAAAAGTCCTGCCAACCATGCACCATACATTGCCATACATAGATACTTCAATATAAAAATAGATAGATAAATATCGGAACAACAAAAAATATAATATAAATATATATATATATACTTATTTACTTATTTAGTAATATTTATATGTTTTTATGTGCATAAACAGTGTCACGAGTCCCAGGCCCACGCCCGAGCAGCCGATCTCGAGTCCCAGCTGAGGGCGACTTCCGAGCAACCCGGAGAGCCTTTAGAAGCCTCAGAAGCTCTGGAACTTACAAATATATGCATCCCAAAATGGCAGTCAGCAACAGTTTTTCTGTGTACGTTATGTATGTATGTATGTATGTATGTATGTATGTATGTGTATATATATATATATATGTATATATATATATGTATATATATGTGAATCTTTATATCCCACTATAGTACAAATACATATGCAAGGACCTGTGGGGGTATACAATAGCATACCTAATGATGTGTGAGAGTCTGCGGGGCAGGCACCTGTGCAAATGCAGGACCGACGTCTCAAAGCAAAGAGATTGCAGCCATGTCTTTAATGCCGATGACTTGCCCATGTAGTGGCAGACCTGTGCAAGGCAACGCATGGCAGCCGCTTGTCTTTTTTCTGGGAGTGTATGACAGACATTCGTCTGCTGCCGTCAGCCCTATGACCTGGGTGCTGGACTTCCAACAAGATGCCTTGCCTTGACACATTGACACAACTGATTCTGACTCGGTCCTGGGGGTGGGCGTGCGTTTTCTCGCGCTGCGCTTGCAGCGTTTGCTTAAACATCCGAGAACTTTAACAAATTCCTGCCATGCAAGGTTCAAAAGCGCGCGTCCGAACTGGAATTGCTCCTGGAGTCAAAGCAACGGGAGCACCTTGGATCTCGACCATTATCTGTCCTGCGCGCCGGGGGCGCTCAGTTGCTCATCATGTAAATTGCGCAGAATATCCTACTTTCTCAACACAAACAGCCTGTAACTGTAGCTAAACACTTGTTCTAGACAAAGGTTCGAACGCCAAGCATCGCAGTACCATGCGATGCTGAGTGCCGAGCCTTGGCAAAAAAGCCTTGGGTAGTTATCTCAAGATGAATGCCTTCAACACCTTCCAGCTTGCGCCATGCGCCAGGAGGTTCAGAGTGCATCTTCCCGAGCTGAGTGGGAGGCCAAGCTCAGCTTGCGGGAGCAGGTCCACAGTGAGGGTTCTGCGTTCTCACGCACAGTGCCGAATGAGAAATCTGTGTAGCCCTGGAGGAGTTTGAGCGTCAATGCACATCAGCGGCTTCTCAGCTCAAGGAGACAACATGAGAAGAACCCCCGTCGCGACGCTTTCGTCCCAAGCCGAAGCCTGCAGGACGCTCACGCAAAGATTGCTGACCTGGAGGCTGGGGGTCTCTGCTCGAAGCAAGCAAGACGTGATGTTTTTGGTCCAAGCTTCACATGTGTGCAGGCACAGCATGTCAACAGCAGCCGGCTTTCCCAGCAGCAGCTCTGCCGAAAACCGCTTGTATTCAGCCCGCGATACCCGTGCGTCTCGTTTGCAGCTGTAGGTGCGCGGCTCTCGCTACAGAGCCTCGGCTAAACGGCACAGCCCATGCGTACAGACTGTCACCCAAGCAGGAGTGTTGAGGATAAGTTGTTCTCAGATTGCTTCTCCAGGATCTTGGGTCGGCCAGACGGCAAGTGGTGGACTTGGAGGCCGCGGCGAGCAGTGAAGCAGAAGGGGCTCTTCTTTGTTCGCGTTTTTTGTCTGAGGCGCAGTTATTGGCTGCCCAGCGCAGTGCCGAAGCTCGCGGAGAGGCCGAGGCTCCACCCGACGTGGCGAAGAGACGGCACATGGACGTCCGCTGGCTTTTCGAGGATCGGCAGAACGTTGCCAAGGCCGCCGAGCTCAAGGCCCTGCTTAGCGTTTAGGGGTGCTCAAGCCACCCCTGAAACTCCAAAAAGCCATGTCTTCGCCCTGCCTGCCAGGCCAACTTTGAGCAACGCCTCAGCGAGGAGCAGCGTGCCCTGGGCTTTAGCAGCTTTGGGGTCGAAGAGCAGGACGTCAACATCCGATGTTAGACAAAGTGATGGCGAGATGCACATCTTGTAGCTCTGGGACAAAACGGATCTGCATCCTCCCAAGGCGCTGCTGCTGAGCAGATGGCACGGCTTGCAGCACAGCTGCACGCCAAGTCCACTGAAACGGCGGAGCTCTCGACAGCATTGGCGGCTGCAAGAAGTCAGGAACCCAGTTTTTCACTCTCTGCTCACGGACTCTTGAAGTTGGCCTGTTGGATGTGGCTAGCCTCCTGGTTTAGATGATGTGTGGGGATACATCTGGAATCTGGACCTATGAATTTCCGTCCAGTGGATACAAAGGTGACCTGGAGAAGCTCCAGCCCGCTTTCGAAGAGGACACACGACATGTGGAGCTTCACAGATTGTTCCCAAGTTGTCAGCTGAGTCCGGGAAGGAGCTAAGCGCAGAGAAAGCCAAGACCGTCAAGCTCCAGGTGCCTAGCGATGTCACACCGTGCCAGTCTTGTGGCTCATCGTTTCTCGGATGCTGTTCAGGAAGCGCTTCAAGCCTTCGCTGCAAAGCCGAAGACTTGGGGCTTTGCAAGAAGCGGTGATGCGACCAACTTTCGCTGTTCCCTATTCCGGCTGAGGCAAGTGGAAGTTGACAGCAAAGAGGCCAGCCTGCAACAGGGTAGAGATCTCGCCAGAGAAACTCAATCAGTTGGCATATTGCTTGGCACGAACATTGGCGAGATCTGACGACTGGTGCCAGTATAAGTTCGTTTCAGAATGCATGCCTTGCACCGGTTCTGGTGGAGGTTCAGACACCGCATCTTGAAGAGATGTACAGGGTGCAGGCAAGGCACAGGGGGCGTTGCTCCCGAATATGTGTGGGCAAAGACGGAGCACGAAGCGGGGATCAGGCAATGCTGGAGGCGCTGGAGGCGAATGTTTACGAGTTGGCCCAGAAGTTGGAGGCACTCTTGTTGGGGTTCGAGAGCTTCGGTCTCGAAGACTTTCTCGACACTCAGTGCAGTCACAGCTTCGAACGTGTACCGAGTAGCATGAAACCGCATGCATGGACCCTTCGTCATAAGGTTCAGACTTGGGCCACCGTGGATGCCGAGACCAGAGCGGAAGCAGAGAACAACCAGCTGCGGGCCGGACCTCCGGAACCTGCAGCTTTCGCCCTCGCGTGGAACGCGTCGTGTGCGAGCGTCCCCGTCTTCAGGCCAGCGAGACCCGCTGTTCTGACCTTTGGTGCCTCGCTCGACCTATTATAGCACTTTTCTTTCCTTGAAATGTTCTCTTTTGCGTATGCAAGGAAAGAAAACAAAGAGCTCCAGCTCATGGTGGAAGCGGTGGCGGAGCGCGAGAAGTCCAACGCTTCCTCGCTGCTCGTCCAGAATTCTGATTGCTGCAACTTTACCCAACTATATCACGCTTGGGGCTCAGACCAGGTCCGAAGCGCACATCAACGCTCTCGAGGCTGGGAAGCAGCCAGAAGCAGCCTTACCATCTACCTCGTCCTTGCAGGAGCAGCTGCAGCAAGCCCGCGCTGATGCCCGGGAGGCGAAAAAACGTGAAAGCTTCAAACACCAGCCTGCAGCCCTAGCCAAAGAATGGCAAGCAACCGGAAGCGGCCCTTTGCACCTGCAGCTATCCTGCAGAGATCCAAGTGACAGTCGAAGGCAGGCGAGGCAGCACTTTGACGATGCAGTGCAGTGCTGACTTTGCTGACACCAGTCGCGTCTTTCGTTTTGCAGGAGGTCGAGCGGACCTCCGCTCGCATTTGCGCTCTTCATGGACAGGCGTGCAGGCCGCTCTTCTGCAGGGCCGAGAATTCCGATGTGTGCAGGTTGCCAAGAGCTCGCACGAAGCGGCTGATCTGGAGAAGAGACTGAAAGAGGAGTCTGACAAGGCAAGCTTTAAGGCTTGACTGCGGTATGCTATGCTCATGCCCGTGTCTGCAGGCAAAGCAGCTCATCCAAGAAAATGCTGACTTGCAGCAGCAGCTTTACCAGGAGACGGCTACGGTAAGTTGTCGGTGCAAATTGTGTTGTAGTGCTGCAGCTGCGTCGTGTGTACCCATCTTCCGGATGCTTTGTGGGTACAAGGTGTAGTTTCCGTGCTGAGTTGTGGCTGGTACCAGAACAGCACTCAGCCACTTGCCGAGCATCTCCCGCGAAGCAGGCACAATGCGCAGCAAAAGAAGTGGCAGACCTTCAGCAGCGACTGCAAGTTGCCAAGGCCTGGAGTTAGAGACGTGAAGTTTTCGTCCGGTGACCGTGTACCATCGTGTACCCGCACTTCTCCGGGTCCCAAGTCGCTAGTTCGATTGGGTAGGACCGGATACGGGAGGTTTCTGTGCACTTTCCCGCGAGTTCTGCTGTAATTTGGACAAGACATGAGATAGCACTACGTACGTCGAGCCCGATCTCACATCGCTGCAGAGTTTGACGTCAGAGCAGAATTTGACATCGCCGCAGAGTTTCACATCGCAGCAGGCTGGGTCTGATATCATGGACAGTGAGTCTGACGACAACCCAGTCCCTGGAAGCTTCAGAGACTGTGCTCTGACGCAGTCCACGGTGCTAGACCGTACGTAGGCTAGACGAAAGACAAAAGACCCCGACGCACCGCCTCAGTGCCTCCGAGGTAACAGCGGTTTGTAGAACCGGAAACACTGTTAAGCGACGGCACTCTCTGCAAGAGGCTCCGAGAGAGACTCCTGCCTGCTCTTGCAAGTGTCGACGACGCAGCTCTTGAACCTCCGGCCACAGTCCAAACGATGATTTGTGACCCGAACTTGGACTTGCGCCTTCCTGAGGGGCAAAACGAAAAATATGTCGCTTGGAATCTCGGGATTTTCTCGGAGGAGATGTCCTGCGTTTTCTTGCTGGTGCACAACATGTGTCTGCTGCCTGGGAAAGACACTTTGCTCCACAGGGCTCTGTCACCCGTAATCAAGAAGATAGTCGTTGGGTTAAAGGAGCTCTACGACTCACGTCGCCAGGGCAAGGTGCGATTTACAGTCAAGAACTTGGTGAGCTTTCTGGACCTCCTTAGCGAGTGTGCGGACACAGCTTCCATGGGAGACAAGAATTTGTGGCCACATCTGCAGAGTCTGCAGCAGAGATGCGAGAAGGGCTTCACGAAACTCGAAGATTTACGACCCAGGCCCGAAGCCCTAAACCCGACTGGAATCCGTGCCTGCCTTGTGCGAGTGTGCGGGTCGAAACCCTGAAGCCCAACGTGTTACAGCACAATTTCTCATCGCACTTCACATCGCACCAAGGGCTTCGCATGGCACCCTGGATTGCACATTGCGCCAAGGTTTGACATTGCGCCAGGGTTACAAAAGAAAAGTTCACATCGCACCAAAAAGCATTGGAAAGCACGGTAGGATTTCCACATCGTTCTAGAAAGTTCACATCGCACCAAGGGGTTGACATCGCTCCAGGATTGAACCCTGATAGTGTGCAGCATGCGACGTTCAGACGCCTCTCGGCCAGTCAAAGGACAGCAAGGCAAGAGCTTCCAGATGCAGTATCTCTTGAAAGAAGGATGCTAGGGTCGCCGACTAATTCAAGGATCCATGGAAGGTTCGGAGACTGTCCGGTTCCGACGCAAGCCCTCCTTCCGACGCAGCTCGCGGTTCTGTTAGATCCCGACACACCGTCTCAGACGCCTCCGAAGTCACAGCGCTTATTAGAGCCCAACACACCCAAGATGCCGTGAAGCGACGGCACGCTTCGCAAGCGGCTCCAGGAGAGTTGGCTTGGCTTGCGAATGTTCTGGGTTTCGCAAGCGGCTCCGAGAAAGTCTAGAGTCTATGAGGTGCTGCCGCATGCTGCCGCGAGTGCCAAGGAAGCAGCTCTGGAAGCTCCGGCCTTAGTTCAGGACGACGACCTAAGCCTGGGCGACTCCAACTTGGACGCGCGAATCATTGTTGAGCAGAGAGAAAGTCGCGTCGCTCGGAGTTTCGGGACCTTGTCGGAGGAGATGGGAACGTCTTCTTGCTGGTACAGCATTTGCCTGAAGCCTCGGAAAGACACTTTGCTCCAAAGGGCGGATCACGATGGGTCTTGGTGCATGTTTTTTTTGCTTCGGCCGCTATATCATCGTCGGGAACACAGGGCTCACTCGCGGAAGTATTTACCCCAAACCGAATAGAACACGACGAAGCTCACAAACGTTCTTGAGCTCGTCCTCACCGCCAGCCTCGTGAACGCAGAGCTTTTCGAATCCGTCCACCATATTTTCATGACCTTCTACGCGCCTGAGCACCAGCACCTCACATGGCGAGCGACAAGAAGTCGCAGCGCGGCCGCGAGAAGTGCCGCCATGGGGCCTTCGAAGAGATACTGTCCAGCGTCGAAGTCATAACGTTTTTCTGGATCGCGGCAGACCTTCGGGGGAAGCTGCAGGCGGATGTCATAACATCATGCGGTTCTAAGGGGCTGCCTATACGAGCATGTGTTCTGATCTTTTCTGCACAATAAACCATGTCGAGAAATCTAGCCTATGACAAGATGTGAGAGCATCAGACGTCCGTTGCTATAGTTTCAACTTTGGAGGCGTGGTTGCAAGGGAAAGACTGGATTGTGTTGACCTTTTACGAGCATTGTGCAAAAAAACACGCACGAAAACATGTCTCCGACGCAGCGTTCTTCCGGGCAACGACGTTGTTTTGGGGGTCGTTAACGCCGCGGCTCACTGGGGCCTGTCATGACTTCGACCTTATATACAATACTCCGCATCTTGTGATGGGCGAGCAAGCTCATGCTGGGACGCCGCAGGCACCCCACACGCCCCACCCTAGATGATGCAAGGCATCCGATTCCCTGCCCTGCAAGGAAGAAAAGCTCTTCTCCAGTGCATGCCTGCTTGTAGACCCCATTTCGGCTGAAGTCGCGATGCTCTTCCGCCTCTACGAGCGCGCCTCAAACGCGGCCACGTGCAGACCCCTGGTGCGTCCTGTCCGTCAAAGCAAGCCGAGAAGCTTGCAGTGAAGCCTTAGTTCGGCAAAGTTGATGCATAACATTGCAGAACTCAGATCCAAAGTGCGAAACCGATCCGATCACAAACACAAACCCGGACACAGAAGACGCCTCGTTGTGTTTTCGCTTCGCATAGTGCCACCACTCAATGTAATGCCATAAGGCACACTGACTGCGAGCAGTGTTTTCGGTGTTTTGCATGTGTAGATTCCATGCAACTGCTCGAGTCTCCAAGATTCTTTTGGACCCGCGTACAGCCTTACCGCCCTAGCCGTAGTTATGTCTTCGACAGTTCGGTGGTCAACAGCTGTTGCTACATCATGGTAGCTTGGGTTTTTTCTTCTCAACGTTGTATGCTCGGTGGATGGTTGGCAGGTTGACCTGGAGCAGGCTGGGAAGGAGAAGGAGCAGGCGCTCGCGAGCAGAGTTACGATGTAGAAAACACAGGCGATCAGCTTTGATCTTGAGCAGCTCAGGCGGCTGCACTGGAGCGCCGTCTGCGTGAGGAAAGAGACAAGGCACCCACGGTCCTACCGTTAGAGAAAGCAGCCCAAAAAAACAGATACTGCGGCTGATGCTGGTTGTGCTCATCTCTTCAGCCTTCAGGCGTTGGACCCCGCGCTGCTCCAACAGGAAAAGGACAAGGCGAAAGCAATTGTGAATCCAGCCAGTTTAGAAGGACCTCGAAACGGCCCGTTTGGGAACAGGAGCCATTGAACCGAAATTATGTGTTGTATGTATGCAGGTTGTGGAGTTGGAGCGACGCCTGCAAGAAGAGAGCGGCAAGGCACAACGGTGGGGAACAAAGCAGTGCATTGATTGGCTCTTGAACTTTGATGTACTTTTCGGCGACTTCATTTCTTCAAAAACACCCTGCGCACGGCACTTCGCACGAGTCCTGTCCGCCTGAGTTGAACAGCAGGATCAGCAGACGTGGGAGACGCCTTCTTGAAACATATGCCAAGTCTTAGCAAAGAGCCGCAGCCTTCAGGCAGCAAGTTTCCAGAAGCAACTGGAAGAAAAGAGCAAGGCCGGGATATGACACAATTTCATCTCAGCTTGTAGAACTGACTTGCACATTCGGGAAAGGATTGGTCAAGATGTTTTCAATTTTCAGGCGTTGGACCCCGCGCTGCTCCAACAGGAAAAGGACAAGGCGAAAGCAATTGTGCATCCAGCCAGTTTCGAAGGACGTCGAGAGCATGCAGTTGAGAAAAAGAAGCAATTGAACAGAAATCGCGTGTTGTATGTATGCAGGTTGTGCAGTTGGAGCGACGCCTGCAAGAAGAGAGCGGCAAGGCACAACGGTGGGGAACAAAGCAGTGCATTGATTGTCTCTTGAACTTTGTATTTTTTGGCGACTTCATTTCTTCAATAACGCCCTGGGCACGGCACCTCGCACGACTCCTGTCCGCCTGAGTTGAACAGCAGGATCAGCAGACGTGCGAGACGCCTTCTTGAAACATATGCCAAGTCTTAGCAAAGAGCCGCAGCCTTCAGGCAGCAAGTTTCCAGAAGCAACTGGAAGAAAAGAGCAAGGCCGGGATATGACACGATTTCATCTCAGCTTGTAGCACTGACTTGCGCATTGGGGAAAAGATTAGTCAAGACGGTTTGAATTTTCAGGCGTTGGACCCCGCGCTGCTCCAACAGGAAAAGGACAAGGCGGAAGCAATTGTGCATCCAGCCAGTCTCAAAGGACGTCGAGAGCGTCCAGCTGGAGATCGTGTGGATCGTTTACCTTTTTTACAAGAGCACGTGTCCTGTATGTCTGCAGGTGCTACAGTTGGAGCGCCGGCTGCAAGAAGAGAGTGAAAAGGCACAGCCTCGGTGTCGAAACCTCAGAACAGAGCCGCTGGGCCTTCAGGCAAGAAGTTTCCAGAGGCAGCTGGAAGAAAAGAGCAAGGCCGCGATATGCCACTTTGTTTTACACCAACTTGCAGCATTGGCCGTGGCAGGTACAATCAATCATTGTTAGAAGTCACGTCTTGAGTAATCAGGCGCTGGACCACGCGCTGCCCCAGCCGGAGCAGGACAAGGCGGTTTCTCAGCCCAGCTACATTGCTAAGTCGTTTACGAGAACATCCTCCAGGCAGCGGAGCCATCACGCCAGCAAGGGGAAGATGGCCAGGCGCCGCGTTGGAGTGCTGCGCCACTCCATCCTTCTGCTTCGATTTCTGCCAGGTGGCCGGGCTGTGCACAAGCCCAGTCTTCAAGGTTAAGGTCAAGCTTCAAGCCAATCAAGCCTGTGTGCAGGCGCACGGGCGCACATTGAGACATACCGACCTGCGTGCTATCGTACAACCGTGCTTGCACCAGACCGGTTCATGCATGCTTGTTGCTTTGGCGGGTGCTGTTGCTGCGCGATTGTGCAGCCTTGTAGTGGTCAGGCACAGTGAGCAATCTTAGGTGACCAGACATCTAGGGTTGATCAACTCTGAGTGTTGTTCTTCGAGTCAAAGCTCACCTGTTGCTCCCAGACACCAGACTTCGGTCGGCTGACGTACCTAGAAGCGAGGCCTCCAATCCGCCAGTGACGCTAGTGGCCGTGCGCTGGCATGCCAAACCACGGATGAATTTGTTCACACCTTGGCACTGCGTTGGCAGCTATACATGCGTATGCATTTTCATGTATTGGTGTAGTTGGTTGCTTTAGTTGTTTTACGCGCTGGGTTCGATTATTTAGCTTATGTGTTTGATGTTTTTGAAGCATTCATATGATGTGCTGTTTGTTTGCACGTGCCTGTGTTTTGTCCAATGCCCACACACACACACACACATCTGAGATCTCGGTTTGTTCGTCTCGGTTTGGGTGTTCTCTGCAAAGTTTGGGCGGAAGAAGGCCGAGCTGGACGAGCACGCTCCGTGGCGAACTGAAGATGAGGCACGTGTTTGTGAAAGATGTGAAAGTGTGGCACTCCAAAAAGCGCAGGCAGAATTGTGGAAGCCGTCAGCACCGAAAGGCCGGCCAACATCCATGGAGCAGCACGTGCGGAGCCCAGGGGCAGCGTAACTTGCTGTTTTGGTACTTGTGGAGCCTTTGCGTTCAACGGATCAGTGTTGGAGGCTGGCGAATTATGATGACTCTCGCAGCTTTCACACTCCAAAGAATCCAGGAGCATCTGCCAAGGGGCAAAAACATGACTCAATGTTCCGAGTCGCTGCAGCGCTTGCTGGCGAGTCGCAACGTAAAGCTGAAAGTCCGACTAAAACCCGGTAAGACTACCAAAAACGCCATTTCCTCAACAATAAACACCCGGCCACACAAGCACCATGAAGACGCTCAAGTCAAACGATGAAGTGGCTGCTCGAACACTGCGTCCTGGAGTTCCTCTCAACGGGCGGTCCTGCCTCTTGCCATTGTCATGACATGAGTCGTTGTGTGCAGAGTCAAAACAAGCGAAAAAGTTGGAGGTATGCTGGCACCCGGTGCCCAAATCCAAAAAAGTGCTAGCCGCTAGCCACGCAGTTCGGGTTCTGACAGCTATGTCATGCCCGCAAGAAGATGTCAGCGATCAAGGACAGCAGGCATTTCAAAGACCGCAGCCGCGGCAACCAAATCCTGCAAAGATAGCTTTTGCACATGAGGTGTTCGTCACTTTAGACGAGAATATGCACAGTTCGTCCGCGTGCATGTAACAGGAAAGCGGACCACCCCCGCAGCAAAGCAACGAGGCTGGCCGGCAATGTGCTGATTCAGGCTACACCTGGCATATTGGGCATTCCATAGGCGTTCTTGGAGCCCCTTGCAGGGTCGAGACAGATTCTGTAGAGTCATCCTTTGACTTCTGATGATGTCCAGGTTCCATTTGCGGAGCTGCTTCAGCAAGAGCAGTCGAAGGCGAATCCTATGGCTAAGGCCAAAGACATCCGAAGGCTGTTTTCAACTCTGCAGGTGCTGGAGTTGGAGCAGCAGCTGCAATCGGAGAAAGACAAGGCGCTGCTCGAGTGCAGCACCGGTGCATGTACGAGCTTGCTTAGTCTCGTGGTTGCCTGCAGGTAGCTGAACTGGAGAAGAGGCTTCAGCAAGGAAACGCTCAGGCTTCAGGGCGGCACGTGTGCAATTAGGAAATCTGCGAGAAGCCGTCGAAGCATGCATCGTAAATGCAGCACTCTCCGATTAGACAGAAAGACACGGGATGCGGATGCGCTGCACCCAGTGTTCTTTGTGGATGTCAGGCTCCGGAGGCCTGCGGTTCAGGGCATGCGAGCCTTGGCGAAACCGGTTTTGAGCACCTACTGGCCTGAATGCGCCCGGATGTGGACGGAAGGAGCCCGGAAGATCTGGGAGTGAGCGTCCCTTGCCTTTGCTCGTTCGTCCAGGAGCGCAGGGCTGGGGGTTCTCTTGCCTCTTCATTTCACCAATCCAGAGCAGTGAACTATATGGACCCGTGAACATCCTCGCTATCAAGTGGGACGGGCGTGTATTCAGGGCAAGAAGTAGGAAGCGAATGCAAGCGGTGAAACCTGCCCTGCAAAATACGTCCAGGTTACCTTATTCCGGTGCTGTCGGATTTTGGAATTCCATTCGTCAGCTGTTTCTAGAAGTGCTAGAATCTGCGAGACACCGTTCTTTGTCCAAGGAGCTCGAATCTCAGGGGCTCCCTGCGAGCTGCAGCCTCCAGGCTCGCATGGACCTGGGCTGAGACACTGCTATGTGGAACGCAAACCTCTGGCTGATGAGGATGCGGAGGCCCAGATCAAGCAACGAATCGATGCCGCCATGCGCCAGGTCAGCACATCTCGCCACCCCTTACAGATCCTTACAGCGCAGTTCGGGCCCCCTGGCCCATTCTCCGTTCGCATGACCAGGGTGGCGAGGCTGCAGCCTCCTACGTCTCACTACTAGAAGGCTGGGGCAGACAACAGAAAGTCAGCGGCAGGAACTTGATCTTCGATCGTACCCAAGTTGGTTGTACCATGCACATGACTGTGTCCTGCTTCAGCAGCACCTTCTTGCTGTCAGCACCATATACCGCTATTATTGCATTCGATGCGCGTTTGCCTCATTTCAAGTTGACATCATGCAGATGCACCGAAACTCGTTTCCGAAGCGCCCGTATCGTCAGCCGGTAGGCGGAGAAGACGCTGGGCCTGCTACTCACTACTTGCACCTTGGCTAACCCCTGGCTAATGGGCACCGTCCTGCCAGGATTAGGATTGCCACTTTTTGTGCTTCTTTTCTGGATTTTGTGGGGAATCAGAGGTGCTGTGCTTCTACTGCCTCGCTCTGTGACCTTGCCGATGCCTCGTTTCGCTTGGCCTGACAGAGCCAAGCGTTCCAGACTGGATCTGGGCTTCTCCAGGTCGACGCTTTGAAGTCCCACTGTGAAGATGCGGGCTTGCAGATGGGCAGCACCTACGTGTGGCCACTTGGCTCTTGGTGCAGTTTGTGGGCAGAGCAGACATCAGTTGAGTTTGTTCCGGCATGCACTGTCATGACATGCCGTCGGTGTCCCGCCGTTAGCTGGCACTGGAACCACTTTCGAGGCTGCACAGCTTCTCCGGCAACATGCGAAGCACCGCAACGGCCACCTCTCAGGCCGATCAGTCTACAAGTCGGCGTATCAGCCCCTGCCCCCCAAAACACTTGTTAACGGGCGAAGCAGCCCAGGCAAGTCGGATGCGACGCATTGGCCGCGTGTGGCTGCTTCTGCCGCCGTGCGACATCGCCTCCTTCACAGGACAGGCTTCTGTATGTGATTGACAATTGCTAATATGCTTCATTGACGTGCGGGGAGCGATGCGATTCAGCTGGCATCGATGTTTGGTCTTCGCCCGGGGCAAGCGACATGTCCAAAACGTCCAACCGATTATTGTCCCGCGATGTTGTTGAAAGGATCCACCTCGTGCCTCTCGGAGCAACTTGGCTCAAACAAGCGACCATGCATCGAGAAACTGGCCCGAGTTCCCGAGTCCATGAAGGCTCGAACTGCAGGCTGAAATTGGCCACGTCCCTCGAGAAAGAGGGCCTCGAAGTGAGGCTGCTGGCTTCTCCACAGCAGGCACCACTATGTTGTCACATTGGCTCGGTGAGTAGCCGGCCTCTCGAGGATACTCGGAGGTTTTCATTGAAAGATGACCTCCTGAAAACATCTTGGCGCAGTTGCGCATGTGTCTGATAGATAGATAGATAGATAGATAGATAGATAGACAGACAGATAGATAGATAGATTAGGTAAATTGATTGATTAGCTAGGCTAGATAGATTAGATAGGTCAGATAGATTAGATTAATCAGATAGATTCGATAGGTTAGATAGATTGGATAGATTAGATAGGTAAAATAGACAGATAGATCGATAAGACCGGTAGAAAGAAAGATAGATACAAAAGATAGATAAGACAGATAGATGGTTTAGATGGGTTAGATGGGTTAGGTCGACTAGATAGGTTAGATACATTACATAGATTAGATAGATAGATAGATAGATAGATAGATAGATACATAGATACATAGATACATAGATACATAGATACATAGATACATAGATACATAGATAGATACATAGATAGATGGATAGACAATCATATGTGCCATAGAAGCAATGACAATGGGCGTATTCGGGAGGGAGGAGCGAGTCAAGAGGAAGTGCATAGTGCAGGAAGATGGGGACGTGGTGGAGTGTGATGCTGTGGCCCCCTTTTGACGTGTTTACCGTGTCCTGCAGCGGGAGGCCCACGCCATGTCTCTTCAGCCCAGTCCACTCCAAAATGGGGTGCGCACCAGCGCAGGGCCGAGCGAGAACGAGAGAGATCTCGCCCTCTTCATCTTCTTCCACACAGCCAAGAACCCCCCTTGCTCGCACGCCGACTGGGCAAGTACCTCTCTCACGTACCAGTGGGCGTGCGAGCACGGGGGCATCTTGGCTGTGTGGAAGAAGAGGGCGAGAAAGAGAGAGAGAGAGAGAGAGAAAGAGTAGCTAAGAGACCGAACAACCAGTGCGCGCCCGCGCGCGGGGAGGGGTATCGTGCCTCTCTCTTGACTGTGTGGAAGAAGAGAGAGTAGCTAAGGGGGGATGCTCGGCAGAAGTGACGTGATCGGTTTGGCACTCCATTTTCGTTCCTAAGACCTTTCATCTGTATCTTTCTTTCCTGAGACCGAGCATCCATAGCTTCTTCTACCCCTACAAAGCCCCACAACAGGGGTGCGCCTCACGGCGCGGGGTGTCTGACCAGCACCCTACGGAGAATAGAGAGAGAGAGAGAGAGAGAACTTTTGGTTCAAGTTTGGCTTGCGAAGGCCCCTGACAGGGCTCGCGCAAGACGACCCTGGCTGCCTAGTGCAAGGGTGGCCCAGTAGTTGGGGGCGCAGCATGCTGCCGCGTTGTGGGCCTCCAAGTGCCAGGAGACCAGCTTCCAGAACGAGAGACTTTCGACAAGACGGCGAACGGCCTCCACTCCCCAGAAGGTGACAAGGACCAGACGGAAGAAAAGGTGGGTGAGGGACACCGATCGTGGGCGAGATCCACGCAGTCCACAGCTGGATGTTCAGCGGAACAAGGGGGACAGAGAGGGACACGCCCACATACCAAGAAGCCCCTTATCGTCAATGGGGTGTTCCGGTGCCGTCGATGCATCCAGGACAACACGTGAAGCCAGGAGCAAGCATAACGGCCATGACCGAGAAAAAATCCAGCCAAAAAACCAATCACAGGGAGGTGCAGCCAGGAAGATGCTGGCAGCAGCAGAGACGAACCCGAACGCAGACAGGACTGGTATCCTCGCTGAGATCGTGAAGAAGTACATCCCAACAGGTACCAAGGCCAGATCGTCGAGGACAGTGCGAGCACAAGGTCAAGAACCACAGCCAGGACGACCAAGCCCAGAACTACAACAAGGGAGGACCCGGGAGGAACCAAGCCGAGAACCGCAACAGGGAGACCCGGCCCTACCGCGACGACGAGAGGAGACCCTGGAGACACAAAGGTCACGGAGCCAGTGGACCAGACCAAAGCAACAGCGCGAACGACGGGGCTGCGCACGCAGGTGCAAAAGATGGCCAGAAAGCTCGACAAGGACAGGCGCAGAGCACAAACGGAAGTGGCACAGACTCTTTCTTCCACACAAAAGAGGAGCTCGAAAGCAGGCTGTCCAGATGTTTGATTGATGCAGCACATGTCGATCTAATTTGTTGAATTTTAGGGGCACCAGTTCTACCTTGCCACCATAGAGTGGAGTGCCTTCAGTGAGCATAAGACGACGGGGCCGTTAATTTGAGCATGTGTTTTGCCGCGCTTCGCCCCTTGCCTGCATCAGCACCGAGTGTGGCCTTTGTCCACGTACTTAGGGTTGCGCACACACCCGTTCCATACACTCGGGAGACATGCCTCTGAGAGTAAATATGCCCCACATGGGCACGCTCCTTAACAGGCACCAGTCCTGTTACCGTCGAGGTTATGGACTGAGAATGACTGAGAAAGCAAAGAGAGCGGGAGAGATTGGGACCCGCGCGGGAAGGGCGGGGATCCGTCCTTCCTTGGCTGTGCAGAAGAAGATTGGTCGACCCCCTCCGCCTTTCTGCCACCGCCAGGTCCAGGAGCTTGGGAAGGTGGTTTCAGAAGGGGGCTGTACACCGGAGTGGCAAAGCTGGGCAGGCTTGTGACTCGGCCGAGCTATCAGATGCTACACTCCATTGCACCATTGGCCACTGGTAGATACTATCAGTTTCTCAGCAAGATGAGAATCGATTTGACGCGTCTCGTGCAACTAGTTCTCCCGGAATCAGTAGAAAGTGCCGGGAATAATTAGGGAAATTAGGCGTCTAAGGAACTTGGATCAAGCGCTGCACAGGCAGGGTTGTTTCTGTGGCAGCATACGATTGGAGCCGGTCTTTTGGGCATTGAAGTGTGTCGCAGGCGCCTCCGCTGCTGGGTGGGCACACTGGCAGAAGGCTGGCTACGCCGGAAGCTGCTGGAAGGCTCGGCAAGGGAAGGGTTAAGTCTAGACTCTAGACTAGACTAGATGCTCTTGAAGCATCACGCAACTCCTGGGCGGCTGTGAAGGTTCGCTTGCGGAAGATTCTTCACCTGCATGGGCCTGCGATGCCGTAGGTTGGCTGCTGCGGGAGGTGGGGAGAGCTGAAACCGAAGCCAGCGCTTTTTTCGATCCTGGGCTTCCGAAGCAGGTCTCGCTGCACCAGAAGGCCGAAAGCTTGCTGCAAGTGCCTTGGCTCGGGACATGAACCGCAGCACCGCCATTGCCGCAATGAGGGGAGATCACTGATCAGCTGACTTTTTTGCCATGCGATGAAATCAGGATGGCTTGCAACTGGCCTTAAGCGGCGACCGAAGCCGCTTTGCAATATTGGCACAGACTGTCGCTGTTGTCCGAAGGCATGCCATTACATCAACTGACCGGCTCGGTGTTGCCATGTCTCCAAGAGGTGCACTGCTGAGCAGCCCCGGCACTGGCCCTGGGCGCCGTTGCACGGAGCTCCGACAGTGACTCGATCCGCATGGGATGAAGTTTAGCCATGTTTAGCCAAGTTTTGCTGTCTTAGCCACATTCCGTCAATGGTTGCATTGAAGTCTGTTCCATTTGTATCTCAAGGCTACTGCCATGTGGGGTCATGTCAAGTGCAGCCATTCACCATGCCCCTACCTCCGGAGCAGCTCAAGGTCGTAGAGTCATAAAGTTCGCAGCGAAATTGAAATTAGAGACAGGTAAGACATTCATCAGCTTCGCTTACTTCGTACAGTGATTTTGAGAAGCACTTCCCGTCACCTGCACTAGGTCATACGAGGCCACCAGGAGAGCACATGAGCAGATGGGTACCCTCGAAGCTTGGCTACAGTGGGACTACATCTCAGTGCTTTGTTTGCTGCATGGCTTGACACATAACTGGACGGACAGAGCAGACATGAACAGACTCTGCATGAATTTGAGACCAAGCTCACCGAGGAAACAGCCACTGGTATCCAACTCCTCGAGTCGATCGGCGTCCGCTGCTAAGTTTGCACCGGAGCGCATGCCAAAAAGCTGATCCTGCAAGCTAGAGGTGTGCGCGTAGGTCTTGTGACTCAGCGTGGCTTGTGTTTCTGAGAATATTTTTCGAAAGTCAGACCCACTTCTGGCACAAGTCTTCAGGCAGTGCGCTGGAGTGCTGGCGATGCCACAGGACCTTCATCTTGGCCTGCAAGCCCGCAACAACGGGTTCAGCTAATAGGTGTGTATATCATATCGGGCTGCTTCGGATGTGCACAAGAAGTAGGGCCAGGCGAGCCTGGTGTGGAACAGAAGTTGCAGGTATGTCCATTTCCATCACACTGCCCGTTCAGTGTGCCAGGCTGGCTAATCTCGCGGGTTTTGACTCCATCTTCTTCCAAAATCCAGGATTTGTTTTCTCAACAAACGGTGCGAGATGAGGCCTATAAAGCATTCAAGTCAGCTAGGCTTTGGCAGTGTTCCAGTCCGGCGCGGCTTTTCAATCGCTCCGCACGCAGTACACTGTCAGATAGACACCTCTAGACACGCATACTTGAGTCTCTGAGGGGCCCAGCTCAACAGCAAAATGCATATCTAGGAGCTGCAGATGCGCTGCAGGAAGCGTTCCTTGGAGATCAGGAAGGGGTTTGAGCATTTGATGGTGCAGGAAAGCAAGCGGGCACTTGATGTACCTCAAGACTTGATGTCAGCATATCATGGGTATTCATTGGTGCAAGTTGAACCGGCTCGGCCGTCAAAGTTGATTCGAATGTACTCAGGCTGCGCATTCGCCGCGTTAACCGCAGCATCGAGAGCGCAGAGGGAGCAGCTTGGTGTGCAGAGTCGACAGTTGGTACCCTCCGGAACTAGACCTGCGAATTGGTAAGTGTGGCAAGAGTGCATCTCGAGCCTGGTAGTAACTTAGAGTTTAACAAGCTTGCACGTTCATTCTTCTTGCTGTCGTTGTACTCGTAGGTGGGAGCGGAAGTGCTGGCAAAGAAGTTTTGTGGGTGCGTATTGGTTGACATCGCGAAAACTGGGGTGGGGCAGATTCTTCGCATTTGTTCGCTGCGCATGGCTCCTTGAAGCAGTCTTGCTTGCTGAGGCTATGTTGCTTCGCAACTTGGGCTTCGGCCTTGGATAGGGGAATCTTTGCACATCCGGGACTCATGCTGATGTACGGGAGGCATCATCCATCGGATGCGTGGGGACCTGGATGGCGGACTCGAGGCCTTGGCCGAGGCATGGCCTAGCCCTACTGTAGAGCTGCGAGCGGGCAACCTGCCGATTTCGGAATCCAAGCTTGTCCATGCCGGTGCTGCTCTTGCAGGCGAAGCGCATTCGGGAGTGCCTTGCGCCTCAGGAATGCATCTGCCGCTTCAGCCAATGTCTGCGTTCAATAGCAACGTGTGCAAAGGCACTGGCAGCTTGTTCGGGGCTGATGGTGTCGTGCTACTGCCGCGACCCTGTTGGCCTAAGATCAGAGGGCCGCTGGAGTAGCAAAACAGTGCGATGCGAAAAGCGATGTTTCAAAACTCGCAGGCTGAACTTGGCCTTCGCCAGAGCCGACCGTGGCGACCACAAAAGTGCTTTGGAGGCACCCTTATCCTACTTCTGCAGCATGGGACTTCTGGCTTGTGCTTGGCACCTGGCGCACCTTGCCTTGCTATGCAGGCCTTCGAGGAAGCCACCACACTGTTGGGCGCCGGCTCTGCGAACCACCCAGAGACTGCAACGTTAGTCCGTCTTGTCCATCCATTCCAGTGCACAGCCACAGCGACCATGAGCATCCTGATTAGAAGGATGCGGATGAGAAGCTGATCATCATGCTGGTCGTGATAATGGTAGTGGTGCTGGTGGTCATGACCAGGATTTCCGGTAACAGCGGTGGCTGGGACGATTATGCTGCCTGCTTCGTGATGGCGATGACAGTCACGGATGTGATTGCGGTGATGGTAACGTTGATTTGCTGGTAGAGACTATGGTGAGGACGACGGCCTCCATTTTTAGTGATCCTCGCCGGTGAAGCCTGTAGCAGTTGTACATAGCAGCGAGATACTGTGTCTTTGGCGGTTTGGCAACAAACTCGTCCCCTTGATGCAGATCATCTAGTAATGGCATCCCCCTTGCAACATGCAAGAGCGATTGCCATAAGCTCTTGAACTTACGATATTTTTGAACACTGGACTTTCGACAGCTTTTCGGTGTGATATTCCATTCCGGCGCACCTCTCGGAGTTGTCCGAAAAGTGAGTGCATATCACGTTGAGGCGTGCTCGTGCGAAAGCCATGAGGATGAGGCACGACCGCCAACTTGTAGATCCGCAGGAGAGGTAGTGCTCTCGATGTGCATGGAATGGACTTGTATTTCCTGTTGCATCTGCAAGCGTCCTGCAAGTGAGGCTCTTCCAGAGCCGCTCGAGAATACTCCATGTGGTGTCCAGACCCCGAAAGGTTTGCAAAACTTGAAGCTACAAACCCAGCCCACCCGAACGACAAGTCAGGCCAGTTTGTTCGCTGCCATCGGGGTCTCTCGGGGCAACTGCGGCAATCAGGCCCCGCGGCAGTCTCTTTCGAATGCCTACTTGGGTCCGCGTTTGTGCGATGCTACCAGCTACTTGCTCAAAGAATTTCACCTTACAGACAGTCCATGTCTATCGAACAGAAACAACAATCTGTCTGAGGCGGGCGCACTAAGTCGATGGCTCAGATTAATATCCGGTTTCTTTTTGCACCTGCTGTCGGCAACTGGGAAAAAAGTTTTGGACAAACGGCTTCAGTCCAGGTGCATACAAACATGCCGAGCTCATTCGCCAACGTACCAAAACACTTCGCACACCAGCAGCGCACTCAGTCTTTGTGCGTGGAGACACTGCCTATTGGCAGTGACTAGTCAAGTTTTTCCGCTGTTTCTGCCATGGCCAGCTTGTCGGGGTACCAGTACACCGACGTAGGAGAGTTCTCGTTGTGCACGCCGTGCGAATGTGGATGCCAATCCTCTCTGACGGTGTTTTGTTGTACGGTTAATTACACAGGAAGTTTGCAGGCAGAGGGCCAGGGACCACATGCACTCGCACATGTGCAAGTCGAGAAGCATACAAAGCACTGTGAAGCCGTGCCATTGTTAGATCACGCGTGTTCCATTTCCAGGTTGTTTAGGAGTTGCAGTGAGCAGGTAGATAGACAGATAGACAAACAGATGCATAGGTAGGTAAATAGATAATGGATAGATGCTTGCAACTTACAACATAATACATGCACTGTACTACGTATACTCTACGATGCTATATCATCAGATGTGCCGGGTAACTGGAGCCACTAGGTAGTGTGACTGGTCATTTGGGTTAGGTTCCTCTCTTGGTCATCTTCGGGGCGGTCCAGATTACCAGTGGTCTTGGTAATCTTGGTATCTTCCCCCATTTGTTTACCGGTTGTGGTTGGGGCAAGTGGGGCATGACCGTTCAGGTTGCACGCGGCACACTGGGTACGTACTATAGCATATATCATAGTATATTACGATAGAATTGAATAGGCTAGGAATATAAAAATAGATTCTGTGGTTGCCAAGTGGGAGCCAAAGAATACTGTGATATAATGTAATAGAAATACAGTGAATAGATATATTGTGATATACCATAATAAAGATAAAATAAAGTATAGCAAATAGAGTATGACATGATATGATACAGTATAGAATAATATACCATGGTATAACCAGCTAAAGCACAATATAATATGATACGATATGTGTATAGCATAGTATCACAGGTGCATGTTTGCTGCATGCAGAAGTACACAAAAATGTTTGTGTGTATGTGTATATATATATATGCACATATATTTCTCCATATATATATATATATATATATACTTGTGTGTATTTGTGGTTGTATCAGCATGTGTCAGTTGTCACTGTCTGCATTTGTTAGTAGATGCAGGAGGCTCTGCAACCAGCAGAGATCACAACCGTCAGTCGAAACTTTCGGGCTGCTCCCACATTCTGATGGTGTCGAAGTCGTGGGGATCAGCGTCCATGACCATTTACCCTGGAAAGTCGGCTTGCTTGGCAGCTTGCTGTGCAAGGCTGGCGCCGTCCTGTGTCGCAACCAGGGCGTGGCACTCCTGGCTCTGGATGCCGGGACCTCGAAACTCTTACAAGCCGTCATGATTGGACTGGACCGCATCATGCCAGAGCCGGATCGACGTTGAGATGTCTCGAGAGAGATCCTGCACGACACGGAGAGATCACAGCCGTGTCATTCGCTTCCACATCCGCAGAGTATGGCGATTCTTGAAAGCCCATCTCATGCGACATTTGAGGATGCCAAAGCCTCATTGAAGAAGTTCCTTGAGTCGAAGGCTGGACAGTGGAGCACAGAGAACAAGCATGCTTCGCAAACGATCGGCTGACAGTGCTTGGCCACACATGGCATCACAACAAGTGAGGGTGGAGCATGTGCTGGGGGGAGACCCATTGTGCGTGGTGCCAGGAAATTCGCGAGCAGTCGGGGCCCCAGACACTGTTTCGAATTGCTAGAGTTTGCTGCAGGTGGAGCTTGTGCAATGTGTAGCTGTTGCTGAAAACGGCACTTTGCGGTCGATGGCTACTCCATGTTGAAACTTCCTAGCTCCCGCCTGACGATGTTGAAGGGGAGGATATGCAGCGGGCGACATGTTTGTCATCACAGAAGCCGCAAACCGGAGGGCTGGCCATCCTTGCCAATCTTCAAGGCAAGCCAGCACAAAGCAATCTGAAGCAGCCACTTCTTGAGGGACAAGTTCGATATTGCTCTCAACGGCCATGACATGTTTGACACGCTAGATGAGACGCTCAGGACAGGTTGCCTCGTGGGTCCTGCCGGGGCCAACCTCTTGGGCAGCCTGGCATGGTCGCGGGTGCAGTGCGGTTGGGAAGCCCGGGCAAGAGCAGTAAATCCCGCTTGCGAACCTGACGTTGTCGTTCGTTCAACACTAGCTGCTTGAGGTGACCTTGGCAAATCCATAGAAGACTGCCTCGAAGCCCACGATCTGCACAAGAAGGTCGAGCGTCCTGCAAGTGAGGTGAGACCTGCTGTGAGCTGTTACATGCCGCACTTGTGGTCCATACAGGCAGGCACTTTGCACACTCCAGGAGGGCGAGCTGCAGAGTGCTAAGAGTGTCCATGCAAGACATGTAGCTGCTTGTTTGCTGGGAGTGGCATGGGCAAGTGTCCCTGTGTGGTGTGATGGCTTAGAACAGCACAGCACCGAGTACGGAGCAAGTCCAGGGCTGCTCTGGATTGATGTAACCTTGGAGTCTGCACGAGGTGGTCGAGATGATGAGAAGCAGGGGGCCCCGAACGCAACATGCAGAAGCCGTTGCAGAACCCCACTAGGAACAGCAGGAGATGTCCTGAGCCCTCCGTGCAGCTCAGAGTAAGTAACAGGGAGAGAGAGAGAGAGAGAGAGATAGCAAGCAAGCAAGCAAGCAAGAGAGAGAGGACCGCATGCAAGCTAGCAAGCAAAGCAAGAGAGAGAGAGAGAGAGATGTAGGGGGTTTCCCCCTGCATCATAGCCCTGGCGAAAGAAAGAAAGAGAGAGATGCGCGATTTCCAGGCCTGGAACGCCGGGCCTCTGCGGGTAGGCCAGTATTCGCCGACCAGTTCTTGGACTTGAACATGTTTTTAACCATTAGGATTCCCTGATGCAACAATCAAATACTGTTCCCTCGAACCACGTGGATATGCATCAATCCATCGCGGGAAAGCGTGAGCTGATCTACTGAACATGCTTCTCAGTCTGGGGGGAGAGGCAAGACGGGCAATAGCTTTGAGCAGCTTGTGCATGGAGGGATCGGGTTTGCAGTGAGCAGCAGGAGAAAGCAGGTTTCAACGATTCACAACGAAGCTAGAAACTAACGCGGATTCATCGGTGGCTCTTGCAGGTGACCTTAGCTGTTTCTTGATGTTGGTCCAATGTGACCAGTGCATGCGATTCGTGGATTGGAAAGTCTGATTCTGGACACTTCCGCCACAACTGGCATCCTTTAGCTGACACAATCGTCCTTGTTCGACAATAAGCATTCTGTTCCACGAAGTGACGTAGACAGGGTCAGTGCCGGATGGTCTGCTCCGCTAGCATCTTTCGATCCCGAACTGTGCGAGAGAAAGTTGCAGAGCAGTGGCACGAGTCGCCTTCTCACACAGGCCTGACAGTGGTCAGTAACATGCTGACTGCTCTTAGGCGAGTCCATGTGTTACAGGCTTGTACAGAAGACTCCCGAACCATGCAGCAATGTACATTCACCGACGTGCACAAGGCCAATGGTGTGAGAAAGAGTGCATCCTTGCTTCTGCATCAATCCCGACGCACCAACCATCTTTCAGGCCGTCAGGCGAGCGTGTGACGTCCTACAGTAATGAAACAGTGTCCCTCGCAGGCGCGGATGCACTATGGCCATCCAGACATCATGAACAAGGCTGTCACCAATATCAAACCCTGCTTGTTATTTTAAGCAGGTTACGTACAGGCCTTGAGGTCCGCCTGCTACTACGTGCAATGGCCAGGAGTACATGATGCAGCAAGGAGGAGTGTCCAAGGCGACGAAGACATTGAATCTGTCAGAGGACTGGGTGGCTCTCGCCTCGACCTGTGTTAGGCTGGGGAGGTTGTGTTGCTCACTATAGGAGAAGTCGCGAATCAGGGCGTCGCGCGGCAAGCGACCACGACCATGACACAGCAGGAACACTCAAGGCAGAAAGGGATTCTTCGAGAAAACGAAAGCCTGAAAGAAGCTTCTCCCGGAGAGATTGGTTTGTCTCCTACGAACCCGATTGCCCAACCGGGCGGGTGTTCACATGCACGACATAGTCACGGTCGGCAGTACAAGCGAGGACATTTTCGCGGGAATGGATTTCGTCCTGCGCGGAGGAGGCGCGCGTAGCCCACCTGTCGCAGCTTTTGCTTCTCAGAGTGGGAGGAAGGCTTCAAGGGAAGCGTTCCTGAGATGGTTTCCTCCATGGAGGTCGCACCATCAAGCATCGTGAATATTTTCATTTGGCGAAAGGCTCGCGGCACGGTTATACACAGCGGCACTGTTCAACCGGTCGTCTTTGCCAGGTCGGGATCTGGGCTTCAACACCGCTCGGGGCTTGTTACATGTTGAGCGCAGGCTGAAGATGGTTTTGAGGTGTTCATGTTCTCTGCACCCAGTCTTGCCTCGACTTTTCAAGGTGCTTGCCTTCTTCTCCAAGCTGTCATCGGGAGCTGGTGAGCAGCTGCAAAGCTCTTACTGCTATGGTGCAGCCCTTCTCAGAACAGGTTCCACATGCTTGCTATAAGCTTAGGATCACAAGACAGACGCTCCGCCTGGGGAGTCTGTTGCCGCTGCCGGAGCTCTTGTCGCAGCTCGGCTTGTGACAGTGTGGCCTCTTTGCGGGTGTGACAAGCATTTGCCAGCCAGCCATCCAGGACAAAGACGTGTTCTGCAAAAGCTGCTTGTATCAAGGTTCTACTATGCGCACATGGGCCACTACTTGTCTCAGTGGGCGGTCGGGATCCCGGCTGTGGCCCCGCATGGGGATTCTGGAGAGAGGCGTCAACAGTGCGCATTTAGAGCTGCTTCAGGTTTCTTGGGGTCTTCCGGTGCTTACCCTGGTTTGGCTGCTGATCCTCCTGAACGGCTGCGAGGCTCGTCCTTGGTCCCTGTCCCGCCTGTCCGAGCCGAGTCCAAACTCGCAGGATTCCAACGACCTCTCCATCAAGCCCGGAGCCCCAGAGCCGAAGCGTTTGAAGCAGACCTGAAGCGTGGAGCCGAGCGACGAAGAGACCAAAACAAAGGGACGAACAGGCCAAAACAACCATGAAGTGCGAGAGGAAACTCAGACTCAGATCCCAGCGAGCTTCTCTGCAGGTGCAGCGCTGCTGGACAGTCTGCAGCGTCCACCGTCCCAGCAGAACGCAGCACGAAAATTATGTCAAATCTGAGAATTTGTGATGATCGGGTGCTTTCAATTCAACGGTGTTCAGACAGGCATCATGTGCGTCCATGACAGCTGGCATTGGTTGTTGTAAGATGTCGGCAAGGTCAGTCATGGCTGAAGCGTGGCAGTGCCCCGGCGTTTCGGGAACGAGTCCTGAGTCCCCTCATGAGAGTGCAGCCTCAGTCCAGCTGCTTTGCTTTCTCTCCAGGGGCCCCTCGTGCTTCGGGCTGGCTCATGCTGCACAGGTGGCTTTCACGGTTTCGTTGCTATCGTCAAACATATCAGTCCGTAGCTTTTACATATTTGGGCACCCTGCCGCCTCCTCACGCCTCATGGCAGGTACGTGTTGAATTCTGCAAGCTTACTGCTGCCCCATTTCGCGAAAAGCCAGTACAGTAGCCAGACAACAGGTACATCTACTCGGGCAATTTGCTCATCGTTTTCCTCCTTGCTCAAATGGCCCCGATTTTCTTTGAAGTGTGGATGCAGGCAAAGGGCAGCCTATGGCAGACTTGTGGACACGTCCTGGCTTTCTCTGGAAGGCCGGCCTGGTGACCTCGATCATACGCCTCGTGAAGCAGCTCCTGACGTGCCCTCCCGAGTGGCGGAAGCGCGCTTCGCCATGCTTCGGAGCTCTGAGTGGTGGAGAGAGCTTCTAAAAGGCTCTCCCCGATCATGTTCATCTTCCAGGCCAAGGCCCGGCCGGCCTCGCACCGCGCCCCCCCTCGAGCGGCACCGCGCCCGCTCTCGCCTCTTCTTTCTGAATCGTAGGTGATCGGGTTCTACACCATGAATGAGCTCAAGTATGGCGGCGCAACTTATGCCCCTGACTCGGTTCGCCTCTGCCTTGTTTGCACCCGTCCAGAGAGGTTCCATTGTCGCACGGGCTCCGACAAGCTTCGACAAGCTTGTAGCCGCTGCAGCCGATTGCAGTCGAAGCCTACGCCATGGCTGCCATCGGCCCGGCCCCGCGCTGGAGGCACTGAGAGACTTTCCACAGAAAGCCACTGGCGACGAATGCTACCGAAAAGCTTTGATTCTGAGGCGGCCACTGCTCAGAGCAGCTCTCTGCGCAGTGGCATTGGGTGCTGGAAGTGCAGGGTTGCGTGGCAGGGAATCGCAGCCAGGTCACGAGGATAAGAAAAGAGCAGAAAGACCGGACTTCGCTTTTTGAGGTTCATCTCGGTGTCAACCGGGCGCGCGGCCCCATCTACGGATTTGCCGAAGTCACATCAGGCGCCGTTTTCGAGTTCTTTACGGGCAGCGGACGCCTCGCGTCGCATGCGTCGCGAGGTCAGGCCGGCAGCTGGCGACCTGGACTCAAGCGGCTCAAGCTTGGTCTCCGCCTCTGCGGCCTCTGCGGAGACTCGGAAGGAAATGGTGCAAGAAACTCATACCTTGCCATGAAAGTTTGGGACTTGCACATTGAAACTGTGACGTGTGTGCTGTGCCTGCAACTGAGGCGTTGCCCTTCGCGATGTTGGCCGTGCTGGCTGCGAGGTCGCAGTCTCGCGATTCATCCGCAAGGAGGGCACCAGCTGAGCTGGAAGCGTGAGGCTTTGTTGCGGAAGAACTTATCTGAGGGAATCAGAGCCGAAACTGCAGGAGCTTTGTGCTGATGGATTCAGGTAAGTGGGGGAGTCGCGTCGTGCGTGTCAAAGTACATGTTCGTATTCGAACGGATTGGAGTCCTGACTTCAATAGGCTAGCAGTCTAGCATGTAGGCGGTCTTCGATAATTAGTCTGCATGCACATTGTTTGCAGATGGCTTCCGTAAATTATTGTCTTTAGAGCATGCCGACGTGTGCGATCTAACGGCTCATTGTTCAGACGAACAGCCCTGCCCCAAGGTCATCTACATTGTCCGAAATGTTTCCTCTACAGTACTTGAGGCCTGCGAGAATAGAAAGCCCTCGAAAAGCACCACCCCGAGACGTTGGAAATATCCGCCTGCATCCCTGGATCTCCCTCGCAAGATCTAAGGGCACAGAAGTACCAGGAGGGCAGAAGAAAAGAAAGGACGCCGGGAGACATCAAAGCGTGGTTCCATTGGGCCGTGTCACATGCACTGTGACTGCGACTATGACTAGGACACCGGACAGTCTTAGGATTGCATTTAGGCGCTCTCTTGGCTTTGATGGGATGTGCCAGCATCTGGCAGGATCACTTCAGCAGCTGTTGGGCATGAAGGGGGCCAGCGAAACCGATGATGAGCCGCTGTGGAAGATGCTTTTCACAAATTCATGTCCCGGTGCATGGCTGTGCAAGCAGCCAGCAGAGCTTGTTTCCGAAATGGCGATTTCGCTGCGGAACTGGTGATAACTGGTGGAAACCTACTGCAGGATCCGGCTTCAGCTCTGCAAGCCAGTCACCTGGCCGCCGCTGATCTTCGGCGTCATTGCAGGCCGGGAGCTGCAGAGACGTTCCGGCACGAGCTCACGACAGCTAGCAGTTTCTCCGACGCCGCAGCGTGAGCCTTCGTCGCCCTCGAAGCCGTGAGTTGGATCCGCTGCAGGCGTGTGTGCCAGTGGCAACTTTGACTGGTCAACAGCAGGTCCAGAGGAGTATGCAAAGAGTCTCGTCAGCAATGTCCTCTCTGCTTGACTTCTTCATGTTGCAAAATGTGGAAATTACGTCAAAGCTGACCCCTGCTCCACGATTAGTGAAAGGCTGCCTCGTGGTAAAAGTGGCAGGCAAGGCCTTGATGCCGCCAACGCATCAGCTGGGCACAAGAAACAGCAAGCAACATGCAAGCTGGAAGGGAAGGGCACCGACATGTTGACAACATTTCTTGTTTGACTGCGACTTCTGAAATTAGTACGTTAAGAGTCAGTCAGAAGGGGCATGCTGAAACCTCCAAAGATCTCAGCCATACGAGAGGGAAAAGAACCTCCAGAGCAGGAGCCGAAGGGGGCTATGTCGGTGAGTAGTGAGTACAAGTAAGACAAATTAGCCACTCGTGGATATATTTAAAAGCTTCTGCTATCCACTCCAATTCCTCTTGCATCAGAATATGGGTTGTAAGAACGTTCTCCCGTGAAGGCTATACTAGGAATTACGACCCTAGCAGGGAAAGGAAAGCTTCTCTGATGGAGCTGATGGAGTTGCGCAGAGAAAAAACAAGTAGTTGATTTCATCGATGAACTGCTTTACATTCAATCGTTTCAAAAGCAGGAAAAGGTAAGATTTTTGAATGACAACAACCATATGACACTTGATTGATAATATGAATCTGGAGGTTCATGCTATCAATTAAGTGTCATATTTTTGTCGGCATTCACAATCTTCCCTTTACCATCTTTTCCTGCTTTTGAACGGTTTTTGGGATCTTTTTTTGTTGCTGAATGTAAGGAAGACGCTTCCGTTTCAAGGCCTAGCCGAGGGCGCGGGGAGATCCCGAAGCCAAACGCATGTTGTTTTTTTGCTCACGTGCAAGCCACAGCAAGCATGGCAGGTCGCACCTCGCAGTCCCCACGCAAACGCATGTTTGGTGAAGGGAGCTTGACTTGTCCACAAAAGCTTCCCATGGGAAAATCCGGAAATGCGAAACTAAAGGCGAACTTGTCTGAGTCGGATCAGAAAAGTTCTGTGGAACAAGTCTGGCCCTTGTGTTTCTTAATCGGGCGTTTCTTGTGTAGTGGTTGCATGGTTGCACCGTAAGTAAGTTTTGTTCGGGCTGCGTCAAATGTTCTAGTTCGCCTGCAGATCACATCATGTCGGTGCAAGCAAACACGGTCCATACAATTTGCCTTGGCAGGCAATCGAGTTGAAACCACGGCGTCAGTACACATGACCCGCATGACTTCAAGCGTCACGCATACAAGAAGCCAGCACATGTATCGGACGTGATGCGAGCAGGCGCCATACACAGATGCCTTCCCATGGTCAGCTGCGCCGTCGTGACGAGTCATGTGTTTTGCATGGAAACCGCTAGTCTGTACCTTGCAGGCATGCCAAACCAAGTTCCAATCCAGAAATCAAGGCCGAAGAGACTCTAAAGCTGGCTGTGCAGATGATGGGGAGTTGGGCAGAGCACTGCATGTCACGTTGTTGATGCAATTGATGTAACCAGTGTCGGTGCATCTTTCCTTCAGGCTCTCTTTTGCATGCATGTGGCAGCCCATGTGCACATGGTCCTAGTCGCACCAGTTACCAGTAACTTTTGCATGCAGGGGGCCACGGGCCTGTGCTAACGAATAACGAAGCTGTTCCGAGAAAATGGAAGAGGGGTCTGATCAACCAGTATGAGGATGTACAAGGCGTGTGCGAGAGAAGGCAAGACTCGGAGTTGCCATCACGTGGCATTAGTCACCAAGCGGCATGGTTGGCATCAGTTGACCTCTGAAACCGGGGTTGCTATTGACATCGTACGTAGTTCGCTGTCATGAGTTGGCAATCGAGTTGGTATTGATTCTGGGCATGGAATTGGCAAGTTTGTACTTAACTACTCGCTACGAGTTGGCATTTGTGAGCGTTGCACGCATTCATTTTTATTTGCCCGTAGACAAAAAAACAAGCAGGCCGGGGGTGAAAGTGGCTGCGACTTTACCTGCGAAGCTCTTACATCCCGTGTTGCTGGCACCGGTGGAAGCTGCAGGTTCTACCTGCGAACTCAACGGGGTCGTATAGCAGGCCTGCAAGTCATATGCACGAGCTATAAAACATGCAGGCAATGCCAGGAGAGGGGCTGCGGCCTCGTTTGACGCTCTCAGGCCCCGTGTGCCGGCACCGTCGCCGACTGCAGCCCTTACCTGTAAGACCATGTATCACACAGCGGAAAATCAACGATCTGCTTCTCAAAGAAGACAGAAGATGAAATTCTCTGGAATATGTTCGCTGATTTTTTGCAGCTGGAAAAACCAAAGCTCTTGAGTCCAGTACGCATGGGTTTTGTTTGTGGGTTTCAGCCCTTTACACATGGGTCCTACCAGTAAGTTTTGCATGCAAGGGGGCACAGGCCTTTGTTTTGGATACCTGTGCCAACGAAGCTTTTCCAAGACGGGGGAATGGTGGTCTGATCAATCACCTGCACCTGCATCTACACAGCATGCGCCAGGGAACAGAAGATCAGGAGTTGGCGGTGTCAGCAGCAGTTGGCAGTTGAAACCAGGATTATCGTTGGCATTGGACGCGGTTCGGCCGTCGTTTCTCGCAGCGTGTGTGTGTGTGTGTGTTGTGCTTGTGTGTGTTTGTGCCACTGTGTCTTGGGTGTTTGTGCGTGCGTGTGCACGTGCGCCATTCCGAGCACAACCGCAACCCCCCGCTCCCCACCCTTATCTCCGGGCTCGCAGGACACCAGAGTAGCCGGACAGGAATTGTTCGGTCAGTACTTTGCCGGTTTTCTAAGTCTAATGTGGGGGTGTGATTAATAACCCCCCCNNCCAGGATTGGGAATAAGCGCGGACCGGGACCGCAGCCGAACGATTGCAGGGGTTGGAACAATGGGAGGGAGGATTGGTGGCAGTAGTACTAGTACTAGTAGCAGTACTCGTACTAATACCAATACTAGTACTAATCCCAGTACTATTCTACTAGCTCTACCAGTACTAGTATTGGTGTTTGTGTTTGTAGTGGTAGTAGCAGTAGTAGTAAAAATAATGATAATAGCGCGCTGGCCGTTGCTAGGGTGCAGGGAGGGAAGGAGCAAATGTGACCGCTTTTTGGGCTCGCCGGGGCCCGGCGAGCCCAAAAGGCGGTCACATTTGGTTTCTCCGTTGCTGGGGCAGGGAGGAGAGGGAGCAGGCAAATTTTGGAAACTCAGAAGAGGCTCGCCATGCCCAAAAGCAGCGCCGCCGGAAATACATTTTTTTTTATTACAACCCCATTTAATTGTTTGGGCGTCCGGGGACCGGTTGCAGGCTTGTAGTCTTCCCAGAAAGCGATCGGCAGAACCGGCCCGAACAATTATTTTATCAATCCCACCCCATTTATTAGTCACAGGCGAACATTAGACAGATGCCTGGAGACTGCCCGGCTTAGGTTCCTCTTGTGTGTGACGCTGTCCGGTCCAGTCCTGGTTGGCTACACGTACCTTTGCCCGCATTGGTCACATCCTCGCTATGTTCAACAATGAAGGGAGGCTGTAGCCTCAGACAAACAACGGGTGCAGGGAGTTCACAAAAGGCAAGAACCGTTTTCCATGAACAAAGTATTCATGAAGCAGTGCCCATGATGAAGTTCGACCCAAGGCAAACACTGAATGACTGGTACGACAAGGATCTGGATGCTATCAACGAGCCCTACCGCCCGATTCCCTCTGGCCGCATCACAGAGGCCCCAAACTCAGGTGTCTGTAGCTCTCTCCAGTTAAATTCACGCAAACATTCAGGAAGAAGTCTGGCAGCAGATCTACGTTTTGGGCGGCCTGGGCTTAGGAATGGCGGCGGCACTGGACCTGCGACGTGTTTGTCCATTCTGCAGCCCATGTTGTAGGCATGGTCCAGACTCTTCCACAAAAGAGCTGTAAGACTGCGACCAAGCCCTATAAGTATGGGACGAGTGCTTGATGGCCGCGGCAATGCCGCAGGATATCTGGCAGGGCCATTGGCCTCCGACGGTTTTTGCCGTGGCGGTTGTGGGTGTCTCTGCTGGCAGAGCTGAGCGTAAGATGTCACAGTGCTCGCCCCTGCGCACACTATCCGTCCCAATCGTCTCTGGTATCGTCTCATGAGTACCGTTTTTTGCAGGATGTTAGAATGTCTTGAATCTTGAGGAATCAATTCACCCCAAGGTGTCTTCATGGCTTACATATATTCGGCCCCACCGCTGCTTGGCTCACGGTTACTTCGGCACCAAGCCGAAAGGCAACACGGCCCGGCTGCAAAAGGAAATTCTCCGTGACCATTCGTGTAAGCACAACGGATGTCTGCAATAAATACTTGCTTCGTGGGCAGGAGCGAGTGCAGCCGTTCAGTCTCCGCTGAGGCTAAAGCTGAAGCAAAACTGGATCTCCGGCTGCTATGCCTTGGGTTCTAGCTACATAGCTTTGCCGTGGCTGGCTGGGCAGTGCACGTTCGGTCAGGCCATGAGCCTTAAGACACATTCCTACAGCTCCCATTGTGGAGGATTCCCTCCATTGAGTGTCTCAGAGCCTTCCTGTGAAGGCGACACCGGAAATCATCGCACTGACTCTTTGGTACTCAGTCGCGGCTGTCGGCATTGCCATTGTCAACGACTTCAAGAGCGTGGAAGGCGCAAGGGGGTCACTCAGTTCCAGATTCCAGATCGAACCAGGCCCGGGCCCTTGTCAGGAGATGCGAAGCTGGGGCTTTCCTCCGCTCCAGTTGTCTTTGGGGTGGACACCGCAAAGCATCCAGGCGTTGAGCTTGCCCTTGCCCAAATGGAGAGCACAAGCGCAAACCCTAAATACGATGAAGGTGGTGGCGGGATTGCTCCTACACCACTGTAGACTCTAGGTGTGCACCCAGGGAAAGCCAAGGTACATGGCACCGATCATCAAGGACTCAGTCCAGCTCACCATTGTCGGGTATTTGCTTTACATTGGAGACTGGACGAGCATGTATATGAGTGCTTACGAACCGGCCGTCGGTCCAATTCGCCGTAGATTGCTGCCGGCATCGCCCGCCCTCCACCAAGGTGAGACGAACTATGCGCTTGGACTGCTTGCGTTGATCCTGCCGCAGATCTACTTCGCGAAGACGTTATTTCTTGAGGATCCCATAAAGAACGATGTGCATCCTGCCTGAGAACCGACATTGCCAAGCATCATACCGCTCTCACCTTTCCTCGGGGGCTGAGGTTTGTTTAATACACTTGAAGGTTTTGCAAAGCCATAGCCGCTTTCAGATCCTGTTGCGAGTGAGTTTGATGCGGCCTACCCACTGTCAGAAGCGAGTCCATCATTCATACAATGAGCGCGAGCCCTACCCAAGCCTCTGCGATTCCGAGGAAGTACCAGGGATCATCCTTGCCTTTCTTCAGCATTGGAACAATTGTGGCGGCTTCCGCGATTGGCAACAACCCGTTGCATTGAAAGCTCGTTTCGAGGATGTCGGCCTAGAGTTTGCACCTTCTCTGGCACTGCCAGAACTTGGCCAATCTTGGTCACACGGGCCATGCAACAAAATGCAATGCGATCAGAAGAGTGGCGAGCTGCGTGCACCTGGCTGAGCAGGCGCACAAACTAGAGTTGTTCACGGCGTAGAAGGATGCAAGTGCTGCGTCCGATTTTCACCACGAACCGAAAGTGAGAGTGCTATAGTGACACAAGAAGCCAGAGCGTCTCGTGCAGACATTTTGCTGTCGTCAGGTGGGTGCTGCCAAGTTGTCAAATAAGAGGTTTTGCGCCTTGCTTGAGCCCTCACGCACCGTATACTCGCTGCAAGCGGTTGGGAAGCTAACTGTCTTCACGAAGGTTGCCACAGGAAGAGGACTGCCAACAGAAAGGCGACCCTTCGTGGGCGTAGTCACCGACTCGGGCCGGGGTCCCAACGGCACAGTAACGGACAGTAACGGCAGCTCTGTGAAATTCTGTGAATTGCCCATTGAGGTCGACTTCAGCCTGGAGGTCTTTATCTGGACTACGCTCGCATCACGTGCCTCGGCGGCACGTGCGGAGGGGTCCATCTGAATAGAAGCAGCAGCAGAACGTGTCGATTCTTCGCAGCTGCCAGACGGCCATGGAATAGTCAAGCTAAGGTACTACGACGGAGCAGCCCTGCTGCTTCTCATGGCTCTGGTTGTAGTTGCTGGAGGCATCACAGCTGCAGCCAGCCTTCGCTGTATATTTGCTTGCAGCAGACTCGAGGTGCTTAACTAAACGGGCAACAGGGGTAAGATTACCAGATGGTGGTGGGGGAGCCCCCAGCCGGCAAGTATGTCAATGTGCTCTGATGCGCAAGGTATGGACAACACGGGTCCACAACTCTATGGCATCATGGTGTCGCTCTGTTTGGCCGGAAGCCCAACTCAGCTTGCGCGAGAAGTGGATTCACATCCAAATCGGAAATGCAGGTCACGGTCTCTTGGCTTTTGGCACCTTTCATCTTCAATCCGTACCAATTTCGGCCCTCTTGCTGGGCGAACGACATGAAGGCACACGCGAATGTCATGACAGATTTCTTCTGTGCACTGTGCGCAAACTCCGCCGGCTATGCGGCTATGCAGCTGCAAGGCTTGGCTTCAGTTCTTCCTCGAAGACGGTGGCTCTCACTGGAAAAAGCTGACAGCTCAGACTGCACATCAACTATGCCATGCCGGTCAATGCATTCAGCCGGTTTGACAGGGCATGGACCATGGTTGAGGCTTCCTAATCGTGGATACAGTGCAGAATCTTCTCGGGTCTTGGGGTAGGATCTTTTCGGGAGCTTTGTGGTTGCTTTAACCTCTACGGCTCAGGTGGTTCACGCAGACCCAGCTGAAGCCTCGACGAGGGTTCCGGGCAACCATTCTCGACACTTGGCAGCATAATACCGCGGCTTGCAGCTTCCAAGGGGAGAGACTTTGGTCCTGGCGCATAGCCCTCGTTATTTTCTCTGGTATTTATCAGAACCGTGCAGAGGGACTACGTAGATCTTGGAAACATGTCCAGTTGTTGACAACTCGTCGTGATTGTCAGACTCCTGGCCCTGGTTGCAGATTATGTTCTATTTGTTTGTGCAACTGTTGCCGAAAAATGTGCGAAAGGGTCGACGAGGCCGTCCATCCGGAAGCCAGAACGACGTCAGACTTATTGTTACATTTCCACCACAGATTACGGGCTTGAAGGGCAATGCACCTTCCTCTCCTCGCCTATGCCTTACTACTTGCGAGTCTGCCTGCTCCTCCTCCTCCTCCTCCAACTCAGCTCCCCTGCACCAGGATTCTAAGAATGTCATAGAATGAAGCGGCTTGATAACCCTCCAAGTGTTCTTTCCGCGGCTCTCAAACCCTGGGTCAAATCAGACATTTCTATATGCTCAGCATGAAATGGAGTCAAGGACTTGGCGTTCTTCATCGAGCTTTGGTGGGCATGTGCCTCACGAATCAGCACCTTCTAGCCAGGGCAATCGTGTGTCCATTGAACAGGGCTTCGTTCATGCTTTGATGTTGAGGGCTTGTAGTTGCCAAGCTCGCCTAGGGACGCAGTAGATGAGAACGGTCTTTGTTTGCTCTTGCGGCACTGGTTGGCTCAACGTGGTTTGTAGGTTTTGGTGACACAGCTCTCTCAGATTGCTAACCCAAATAAACATCTTTAATTACCAGCTGCAGCCAATAGCATTGCAAGGTCGTGGCATGCTTCTCCTCATTGAATGCACGAACGGCGGTCGTTTGCCAGGCAGTGCTGCGTTTTCAGAGCGTAGCTTCTTGCCGATCTCAGGGTAGTGACGCCATTTGCCCAGACCGCAGCTTTGTCTACCGGTCACGTCCGGAAGAGGTCTCTGCGATGTGGCGGATGTATTACTGGTTCCTGCTGCTTCCCCCGGCACGAAGCCCAGTTTTCACAGTTTGGTAGGGATCCGCGGGTGTAGGGATTTACAGGGACTGCCTATAGGTCCGCAGTCGTCACGATGTGGATTTTAGTGTCCGTTTTGAAGACATCCCACTCGAGTGGTCGTTGTAGGCCGGCTTTCGGGGAAGTGCAAGACGATATTGCATGGCTGTGCCTTGTGCGATGTTTGTCATGCAGACTCTTGGCGCGGCCTTGTGCAAATGGCTCCCGTTGATTTCATCATATGTTTGCTACACGCCGGGTTGCATTTAGTTTCGCAGTTCGTTCAGATGCTTCCGGAATAGGCGCGAGTTTCCAGTGACGGTCCCTCCAGGTTGCCTTCTACGTCTACTGTAGCTTCTGCATCTAGGACTAGAGCCGACTTGCCGTTTGGTTAGCCATTACGCTTTCTGGTGCCAGTCACTCACACCTGTACCAAGTTCTTGCGAAGACTGGAAGAAAACTAGAAGGTGAAATCGACTCTGCCAGATGCTATCAGATGCATGATTGCGCAGCCATCACAGCTCGCAACCGTGGGGACAGCCTCCGTTTCACGACATCGACGCCCGCAACCCAGCTGAACATCTGAACCTCTCGCTTCTCACTCCGTGTGCTGGGTTCACAGTTCTCTTGAACTGGCAACTTGAGGTGGTCCGACACGCCCTCGATGTCGTACTTGGCTCCACAGTTGAACTTCTGCGCTGCACTGCATTTTTTGGTGGCCTTGCCTGTCGCCTTCACACTGCCCTCACTGCAACAGATGCTGCATGCTTGCCGCGATTTGCCTTTAAGGATCCGCGCGATGTCATGCAAGTCGAGCAAAGCCGGCTTTCGCAGGCGATCGCCGCAATCCAGGCCTATGGGGGGTGCACTGGAATGCTGGGCGGTCAGCTCAGTCGATGTGTCCTGCCCGGTAACTTGCGGCCAGTGATTCTCCAGGAATCGACTGACAGAATGCGTCGACTCCAAACCGAGCAATGCGTTGACACTGTGGACCCTTGGACGCAATGCAGGCTTTGTTTCAATTTCGGTGACTCCGATAACCCTACATAGCTCAGTCTCGGGCGGGGGCTGCGTCGTAGAGGTTTCAAGCGCAATTTTGCTAGAAGAAGTGGCCCAGTGCCCCCCGACCAAGGATTGGAACGACGCACACAACATCGCGCAGATTGTTCAGGGTACAGCAGCATGGTTGCAGAACCAGGTTGTGCTAGAGGTCTGGGCCATACGGTATGGCTGTATGGCCGATCCCTTGTCACAAGTTTCACCCTTAAATGCTGAGACCGGTGCCTCGGTTCCAGCCTGCGGAGTCACCGCTTGATCTGACTGTGGGCACATGCAGACTACCACAGTCTACCTCTATATCCACCGAGGGCATACGTGAGCATGCTGCTGCCGAGGCTTTCATCGTTCTGGCCATGTGGCTGATCTTCGCCAACAATGCGAAGGCGTGACGACTCAAAACGCAGTGGCAGATTGTTGAGACAGGGTGTTTCGAAGGGCTTCGAAGCCTCTGCTCTTGTCACAATTGCTTGACCCAGCCAGTCAAGGTGGCAGTTGCCTCCAAAGCGCCGCTGGAGCAGCGGCACGCGGTCTGTGCAACCCTGAGCACCGCGGTGTGCCTCTTCTCCGGCTTCTTCAACATCCTACAGCTTCCAAGACGAATATGTAAGTGTATCTAAGCGCCACAAGGAAATAGGAACTGCGAAGCCAAGTTTCACCACCCGAGGCTCACCGGCATCGACGACTTCCAAATTCCTGGCTACACAGGAGGCTTTGTTCTTCAGCTGGCTCGGCCTGTTGAGTGGGTCCTCACGCACCCCGTCAGCAATTCACACAGAAAGGCTTCAGTCCCGGATGCCGCTGTTTAGATTGCCTGTGGTGTGCAAACATTCGTTGCAGAGTTCTGGGATTCCGGTTTTGACACGTCCATTCGCGACAGCAAATGCTGAGAGGTGCCCCATCCTGCAGCTGAAGTTGGTGCCGCGGCTGCACTCCGGGCTGCAAGGTCCTCTCCAACCATGAATGGCCCAGGTCATTCTCGCAGGTGCACGAGTGCCATCCTACCGACGCTTCGCTGAAAGTCTGGCTGGGAAGCTGCACTCAAGAATCCAGTTGTTCTCGAAAGAAGGCTCTTCCTCTTCAGGTCATGCTAGATCAGCGTAAGCTTTCAGAGTGAAGTAAGTATGGCCGCTTGCCGAGGGAATCCCGCATGTCCTAGCCTACCTTTATCAATTTCATACCTTCAGAAATCTGTTTGCGCCTTCAGGATCTCTCAGTGCCAGCACTGTCCTGCAACAGAGCCGAATAAGCTAGTTCGTACCACTTGACCATGTGTGGCACCCACACTCACTGACACAGCACAGCTGCTGATGCTGCGCAGTGCTATGGGCATTAGGAAGTACTGGCCTCCGCGGTTTGGGCACGACGGGCCAAAAACATGAACACCCGCCAAATGAGAGATGCAACCCGCTGCGCTGATTAGGTTTCAATTCGAGGTTGCCGGAGGCCAAGTCAAATAAGAAATGACACCAAAATGTTGGCGACCCTTGATTATTTCAGACCTAGAAGGCATTTGATTACTTGGTATGTTGTGTTGTCACGCTGACGAGGCACCTACTGTACGTGTCTTAGCCAACCGTTTCTTGCACGGTGGTTGCATTGTAATGCCAGTCCTCCACATGCTCCTGCCAAGTGGTCGTCTACATTCGCCCTCACAGAAGCAAAACTCCGTCAGATCGATGCTGCCACTCTGGACTACTCCCAGACGCCGCCACATTTTTGCAGCAGCAGGTCTGACGACCTCTAGTCCACGTGTTCTGGGGGAAGCTGCAGACTTTGTCGTCGCTTTCATCATTACTGCTTTCGCAGTCGCCGCTAAGCGAGCCGGAGTCATCATAACAGCGGCGATCGCATAAGGCATAAGTCACGAAAGCTAGCTCCGTGGAGCTTGCGGGAGTTGCCGTTTTTCAATTCACCTCTGAGTTGGAGTGGCCCAGGTCAAAACCGCGTTTAGGAGCTTATTTGGTGGTTTCACAAAACTTAAATGGGCGGAGGGCGGGCCCCTGCCCCGCGCCACCACGCAAAAACCCAGCTCTCACCACAAGGTGGCTGTGGCGTTGCACAAGGTGGAAGGCGGGGGGCCCCACCCCGCCTCAACCTGAAGGCCCTTGTCCAGCATGACCGGAATGTTTGTTTGCGCAGTGCACACATGCTGTCTCGACCCCGCAAGATCGGCACTAGTCTTTAACCAGCCTCCTTCTTCTTTTGCAAGTGAAATTCGCAGCAACTGTCAGCATTTAGCAAAGACCGTGGGCATCAGTGACAATGTCCTTGACCGGCTAGGAGGCAGAAAAGCTGGTTGGCACATGCCCGAACATTCCACTACATTCAGGAAATCTTCACGCGCACATAAGAAAACCAAGCCTCCGCCACTCACGAGTGCTGTACGGGAATAGATTCGCTTGATGAGTCGCCCCTTTCCCTGCTGCGAATCCCTAATCCATGGAGTCCCGAAGCAAAACTATGATCATCATTGAAAGAGTGGCCATGACGAGGGGGTTGGATGAGTTTACCCACTAGCTACCATTCGGCAGAGGCAATGAACGGATGTTTGGTCGGACTGATGTGCACGGCAGCTTCATGCAAGCATGTGAAGCGTTTCCGATGTTGAGATCGTGCGGGTCAAAGCTTGCTCCTCTCTCAGGACGTTTCATGATGCCGTTGCTGTCTGCAGCTGTCCTTCTGTGTGGTGTTGCTGCCACCTTTACGGATGGAGGACAGTCAGCGTAAATCTCACGAAGCCAATGATTCCAGACCCTCTTCGAGCAGCATGCACACAGGTAGCTTCTGCTGGCAGAGGGTAACAGCCACCAGGACTTCGTTACATCTGGTTCGGCTTTGGCATGATTCTCGTCGTTATCATGTTCTACTACAACGCCCAGCAAATCTCAGAGCTGCTTTGCTGCATCCCCGGCACCGAGTGGACTGTGATTCATGAACGGCCTACTGTAGAATGTAGAAGCCCAGTGGCTGCCGGGAAGGCTTGGGCTGCGAACACGCAAGACATCTGACTGCAGGAACAGTGAAGGAGAAGAGAGCATCCTGCATGGGCAGTCTGACTACCGCAGCTTGCTTGCAAACGGGGGCGGCTTTGTCATAACTAGTGGTGCATGCAGCGAGTGGGGCGTGACTGTTGTGAAGCGGTTTCGAGGCAAACTGACCTTGGTCCTGATTGCCACGTGGTTTCCGTTTCCGATCTGGTTCGCTCTCAGCCCGGAAGGCTGGAAAGAGTTGGATGCAGTTCTAGCTATCTGCCGAGTCTGGTGTATGCGTTGCAGTTGAATTCAACGATTTTAATCGGGACCCAAGCTATGGCGGAGTTGCACCGTTTTGCCGTGAAGCTGTGGACGATGACGTGGATCTTGATTCAACATGACTCGACTACATCTGAGTAGTGTCTGGCGAGTAGTTAATGGACAATTAGTCCCCGTGCACAGAGTATGTCAGACCCACGGGTGTTCCAAGATCTGGCATGCTTCTATCGTGCGCAGTCTTGCAAGGCTTCAACCTATTCGACGAGGAGTTGACCATCGAGATGGGATGGGTTGTGCTGAACATGTGCCTAGGCACGCATGATGACATGGGCAAGGAGTTCCAGCAAGCTTTGCCGTGGCGACACTCTGACGTACTGGATGGATTTGAACGAAGTCTACCATCTTCAACCATCCAACTTAATGTCGCCAGTGCTGGGTCTACCGGAACCTCAACTGATGAGCACCAAGGTGTGCAAAGTTCTCGATGATCATCATCGGTCAGCGTATGAGACTTGCTCAAAGAACCCGGTCCCGGCGGCATGTAGATAATCCTTCCACCCAAATACTAAATGCCGGGTGCTTGTTTGGTCCTGGCATGTTGTCCCGAGTCAGGAGTGTATGGTTTTCCAGGGCCTTCGACATTCTTTCCTCTTCAGTCCGGACGACAACACTCGTGAATTGGTGTTTGGCCAGGTAGTCACAGTCCAGTCAGAGTTTCACAAGCTGCAAGGAAACTGGTCCACCAGAGGAAGCTGGAAGCAGCACGTGAGCTGTACGGCCTGTCCCCCTCGGACGAAGTACCTGAGAATGCGCTGAACCAGACACCCAGATTGCATTTGGAATACAGCCACAGGTGCTCGAGTTTGATCTCCAGTCATTGCTGCTTCACTCTTCGATAACCCACACTATGCCCAAATGGGACTCAGTGGGGACACGCGTGTCTTGCGTCCGTGTTCTGGTCAGAACATCGTTTGGCCACCCTAGGAAGGCCATCATGGAGAGCAGCAAGGGCGGCCGCGGAAACCTGAACCCCGAGGACCTGTGCTCGTAATTTCACGGCCTGGTCCGCAGCAGTTGTTCTCGCAGGAGTATGGGCTCGGTCTTGGAGAAGAGGCCGTGGCTTGGCCACGCACTAGTCACAGGTCGTTTCTCACATTTACACAGTGGGGCCTGGAGGGTGTCCAGCACTGACAGAATGTGTGGCAGCATGCATCATCGTGGACTCATCGTGGACAGCGGCGCAGCAAAGACGTTGAAGCAACGCCTGAGGAAAGCGAGGAGAAGTTGGTGGAGCTTGTGGCCGACACGTCCCTCGGACGAATCTCCATTTGAGGCGGCACACCGAAAGTTCCAAGCGAAGACGCGCACACACACACACAGAGACACACACGCACATTTGCTGGTGTTAGCATCCCGCAAAGGATAGCCCAACAATGCCCAAGACGCATCGCCTCTTCAGCCTAAGGATGGTGACACTTCAGCTGGCGAACCACACCGAACGTTTGCTCAAGCTGCTGGCTCTTTGACTCGAACATCTCCTTCGCATTTCCACTTCTGGGCGCATGTTGGCGGATCATGCTTAGGGACACTTAGAGGTTCAGCTGGCAACCAACTACCGAAACTGCGATTGCGTTCATGTGTTAAACCAAACGCCATGAAGTACACGGTCCGGATCCATCCTGACAGCATAGCTTGCTTGGATCAGATACTTGTACCATGCCAGTGTGAGGTTGTCACGCGCGCAGCACACCCGCCCGCCCGTCCCTATGCAAACGGACATGCACCTTGAGGGAACCCGGTACAAAAGTGTCCGAGCACGTTGGGGCACAACTGCGACTACATTTGTCTTCTTTTGAACTTTTGTCTAGCCGTTGAGGAAGGGGGTGGGGAGGGTGGGGACATGACGTCCGGTTTGTGTGCCTGTGGTAGTTTTCATGTTAATGGTCAAGTTGTCTTCATGATGGTGGCGGTGCCCTGAAGTTCCCAAACTTTCCCTGTAGATACCCTTACTTCCTCCTTAAATGCCCTGATTTCCTTCAGATGCTCTTATCTCCCGTTTAGATGTCCGTACTTCCTCCTTCCATGCCCTCATTTCCTGTTTGGAGGCCTGGACTATCGCAGCATAATAACAGACCATGCCAAAGCATACCATATGGTATCATATCGGGTCGTACCATATCATGTCATGTCATATCACATTATTTGTTATGAAAAATTTCACTACATTCGATTTCCTATGCGGCACCCTGTTTCGTGTGGCAGGTGTGATATTTTCGGCATGTTAGCCAATGCTACTTCAGTCTGCAACTTCCCGGCAAAGAGCCTCGCAAGGCTGCAAGTGCGACGAGCGCATCCAAAACTCGAGTTTTAAGCGTTTCCAAACCCAAAAACATGATGCCGTCCAAAACCAAACGGAACCTTGTTTCGTGTGGCAAGCGGGGTACTTTCTTATGAAGGGTCCAACAATCCCCCGTGCGGATGTCCCAGGATGGTTCATGCACGCAAACATCACGCAAACAACCAGGAAAATGAAACGACGAATAGAATCTCGCAACCACACCCACCTAAACACTCAGTCTCACGCGCACGGCCAAGCTTGCTGCAGTCACTTTGGTGGGCACTGCGGGGCCAAAGAGGCGGGGACTGGTGGTGAAGTTGCGGCCACACCGGGGCCGAAGACAAGATGTTGGTCAAAGGTTGGAGCTGGGAGCAGAGTGCAGGTCAGCAGCTGGCCATCACCCTCAACAGGGCTGTCTGTGGGAGCTGGCAGTTGCTAAAGCAGCAGGTGGCAAGTTCGCATAAGTTCGCAGGGTGCTGCACTGTAGTGTACTTACGCATCGACAGCTTATCTCGACACTGTAGCGAAGCAGGCTTTATAGGCTTGACTCACCGTGCGACGAGTTTTCCCGTCCAGTACAACCTGATTCTGAGGGTTGGCCTACGTCTCCGAACATGTATCTGCGACTCTCTGAACTTGAGATGCTTGAGCATGCTGTAGGTTGAGAGCGGCGTTACCAACACCGCTGTCTTGGAGAGGCTCAACCAGGCAATGGGACCTTCCGCAGACTTTGCGTTGTGGAATCCGAAGGTTCCTGACGTTGCACTGAAGATGTGAGGAACGCTGCATGGAATTGTGCTTGCCGTGGGCGTGTCTCGGCATGGAAAATAAAAGCTAAGCGTACTGAAGATCTGGCATTCGTCTCTGTGAAGAACCACCCGAAGACCGAAACCAAAAAAAACAAAAAAACAAAGCTCCACGGAGAATGCTGGAACAGTTTTGGTTTTTTGGTTTTTTGGTTTTTTGTTTTGGTGTGGAAAGAGTTCTGTTTCGAAAAACCAAAAAACCACAAAAACAAAGAACCAAAAAACTAAATCTGCATGTGTCGTTATTCCTCAGCTCCTTTTCCATTGCCTCCCATGTCGACTGTCCAGTCAAGGCTTGTCGATGCTATCCAGCGCCGCTGGAGCAACGAAAAGATGAACATGGGACGCTGGTCTGAGCATGTCTGAGCACGTAGAGTAGAGTGCTTCTGGGGTCAGGCTCACATGCCAGCTGTGCCGCATTTGTCTCTGTAATACCACGTACTATGAAGCGGATGAGTTGATCCGGTAATATACGGGGCAGGGACCAGTTTCACGCTGCCACATCTTTGTACAAGCTTTGCCGGCTGCCTGCATTTCCAAGGTCAGGATCAGGGCGGCGTGGTGGATTCTGGCCTGCAAGCAATCCGTGCCGCAGTCAAGTTCAGGCATTCCGTTTGACTCGTCTCAGGAGAAAGAGGACCCATTCATGAAGCCAGGCTGCATTAAAACAACTGACCTCTCAAAGGCCCCGGGTCGCCCAGCAAGAATGCAAAATGCTGCACCTCATGGTTTCGGTCCGGGTGTAAACGTGCAGACCTCCTGGGAGATCGACAGCGACGCACCCACGGGTGGCAAAAGCTTACCATTCCCTGCGTTAAAGGTATCAGGGGAGAACGTCCGAGCGAAGTGAAGCCAAGCAGGGCCAGTCTGTAAGTCGACCCTCCGTTTGCCGCGAAACGCCGCAAGCCCCTCAGGAAGGTTTTGGAAGCCAACAAGGAGCGCATCACGTCGATGAAGTCCGGAAGTCAGGCAATCTCTGCTTGAGGGCTCGAGACGCGGGAGTTTTGGTGTTCTGCTGTCATAGTAGAATGAGGCAGGGGCAGGCATCCGAGCGTACACCCGATACACAGACCACTCCGCAGCCTACATGCACGTCTTTCGTAGGCCGCACTGTCTTGCGCCTTTGCTCTTGTGCCCTGCCTGGAGCTCTCAATCTCCAAGCCTACGGCCACCGTCATGCCAGCTCTGTCTGGCACAGCAGCCCTGCCCTACAGGTCACGGGAGTGGTGACGCCTCCTTTAGGCCAGGCTGGTGATGCGCCGTTTAGGGAAGGACCCATCCAGCCGAAGTTGTTCCGAGAAATGTCAGGGTCAGATCGAAGTGTGCTGACTTGGCCTGCTTGAGGTGGAGTGGTGGATATGTCTTCTTTCAACGATCAGATTGTGGCTGCCGTACAACGTGCAGTCACTTCGGCTGAACTAGAGATCCGCGGTATGAACAAACTCTTCGCGTTCAGAACTTACTTGCCAACAGCAAGAAAAGACCCTTCATCCAAATCGGCAGTGTCATTCGGCGTAGGTCTAAGGCGCTCCTCCCTTGAGTTGTGAACTCTCAGATTGCCGAATCGGCGGTTCAAGATTTTCTTAGAATAGCTGTCAGAAGCTTCGCAGTTGCAACATCCGCCAACCAGCAAAGCAATGTCAAGGTCCTGCCTTTGCATGAGACGGTCATGCATCTTGGCAAAACACTTGTGGTACTTGCATGTTGTACAAGTCTACAATGTACTCCGGCGGGGTCGTGAGCTAATGTATTAAAGCAGTTCAAGACATTCGCGGCATGCTCTGTGCCAAGCGTTTGCATCCCAGGTCGAAGCTCCAGACGTTCGAGGACACCGTTTTTAATCGATGTTCTTGGATTTCCGGCATTGGGTTAGAAGTCGGGTTCGGTGGAGAGACACCATCAGCAACGAGGATACCTACCTTCCTTCATTTGATCTGATGCAGGAGAGTGTCAATCATTCTCTGGAGTCCACCCAAGAGAGCGTGGCTCAACGCATGGATTTCGGACAGGCAGCCAGGGCACGACAATGGGAACCGGTGGATTTCGTTCGGGTTAACGCACACGTCTGGCAGGTGACACTTATGCAGACGGTGAACGCTTGCCAGGCGACCGGGCAGACGACAGTGAAGAAGCCTAGGATGCTGGAAGAATCAAACAAGTTGCAATCGAAGCGCACCGTAGCATTTGCACTTCTGCACGCACTGCCCCAGCCGTCTTGTTCAGGTGCTGTTGCACAAGCTGGACTCTTCCCAAGAGGTCGTGCTGCAAAAGCTGGACATGCAGAGGAAAGATCTCGAGCAGATGCGTGCCCTCGCCTAATCCGACCAGCATGCTCACGGACATCCATCAGCCTCACACTAAGTCATGTAGAAGAACCCAAGCAAGTTCCTGCTCTCGTACCCCACTGAAGCTCAGCGCGGACTGTCTTTTTGGTGGCGCGCGCATGCCAGGTACATCATACGAGTCGCTGCAAGGCAACATTGCAGGTGCTCAGGACCTAGCGGCTCTAGTGGCCTAGCTGTTGTGGCAGCTGCGCGGACGGAGGAACACAAAGGTCAGGTGAATCCGGCCCGAAGCAGAGGTCAGGAGGCGTTGGGTCAGGTTTCAAGGGACCCCCCCGCGGCCAGGACGTCACAAGATCGGCGCTCGTGGAAACGGTCAGCACCTCTTCCAGCGCTTTGCTGCAGAAGCTGGAGGCTTTGCTGCGAAGTATGGCCAGGTCTTTCTTCAGACAGACAGACCGACAGAGAGACAGACAGAAAGACAAACAGAGGGGGAGCCAGTGTAATGTGTAGTAATCGGCAGTCGAACCCCGTGCGACAACAACCTTGCCCGTTCGCAAGCTGTTCCTGTTGATGTGTCATGTCATTAGTCAGCAGCAGTATAGGAAACCGCTGGTGAAGATGCTAGACCTATCCCCCATTTTTGTGTTTGAGTCGAGTCATTCTCAGTTTCCGGCTGTTTTGGCGGGCATTTTGGACTTCTGGGGAGGTCTTGGAAGCCCGTGGTGTGCTCCTGGAATGGTTCTTGGATATGTAGCTTCTAGGTTTTCTTTCATTGCTTGGGGTCTACGCAGGCATTCCAATTGTGGCTTCTTTGTTCTGTGCCTTCTTCCCTTTGCTTTGACGGTGGCACCGTCCCTTGCTTGGAGAGCTTGCTGCTCTGGCTTGTCCCGGGGATGGCGAGAGCACGATTTCCACCCCACCATGCTCAACGCACTGAGATGCACTGAAGCAGCACCACGAGTCCCACGCCAAATGTGGGAAGGATTGTCGCGGTAGCCGGTAGCACGATTTCGGCAGGCGGACATGGGCAGGATCGTGGGTAGACGATGCGCAACCCAAAATGTGAACGGCTCCGCGACAGCGTGATCTCGAACGTCGCAAAATTCCGAAGCACGTGCTGCAGTATGTTTGTGTTGGGGACAGTCTTACGCAGGCCTCGGAGGTTGGAGCAAGGAGCCCCGAGGAGGCAAATAGTGTGACCCTGCCCGGACTTGAGCGATTGAAGAGCCAAACGAGCACGGGACAGTGGCGGCACGATTTCCGCCAAAACCACACCAAGGTACGCACGCGAGGACGATTCATCAGAACTCCGATGGGTTGGATTTTCCCATGAGCTCGGCACAAGCTGGCTCTCTGGAACTTGCATGCTTTCCGTCACAAATGTGCGCCGCCGCATTAAAAATACCCTGAACGTCCGCTGTTTGCCAACTAACTAACAAATACAATAATGAGCGGAAATGGGCGGCACTTGCTCCCGTCTCTTTACGGAAGACTATGGCTGGACATAGCTTGCATCCGGTCTGGGAATCTCTGTGGGACTGCGATCGCAGAAGAGCTGCGGAAGACGGTTGCTCGGGGAAGGCGCAGGGGCGTTTGCTTTTGCGGAAGGCGTCGCTTACAAAACGGTCTGCAGAAGGGCGCGCAGAAGGGACAACCCTGCGTGATTCAGAAACGTGCTGACGCGGCGAGGCGCAGAAGGCTGAGGAACGGGTGTGTGCGCAATAGAAATTGGAACAGACAAACAGCGCAGCTCAAACAAACCGACAGATAAATGAATATGTAGCATGTAAGTTAAGCCGGAGAAGAGTGCAAAATACATGGAGGGGAAGACAAAAGCACGTAAAGCCAAGAGCTAGAGTACTATAGGGAGCCTTTTCAGATGAGACTTTGGCAGCGTCCTCGGTAGCATGCCTCCAAAAGGCACATTGGTTTGAGGAGGAAAAGTTTTTCGGCAATGACCGCATGTCCAAAGGGGAAGCATAGAGTCCATCATCCCAGCCTGAAGTCTTCACTCATGATAAAAGTTATGTTCAGGATGGGCTATATTGGGCTGAAGTGAGGGACATAGCTACGCAACTTGTCACTCCGCCCAAAGCCGCTTAATGGAAGTACCACAGGGGCAGCTTGTCGTTAGACGGACAGCCGAGGATTCGACACAGCAGGACCTTCTTCGGAAGACGGTCGAGTCTCAGTCCATCTTGCAGACCGTCGCATCCACCCAGAACACGATGGTTACCAAGATGGAGCTTCTTGGCTTGAAGACTTCTGCGCCATTTCCTTGCAAGTCACGGAAGCTCTTCCTGACGGAGCGTTGCTCATGTCATTATTTCTGACACTGCGAGGCTAGAGACGTGGGTATCTTTGCGGGGGAAGTCTGGACAAGTTTTCCGTTTCCAACCCTCCATTCTGCGCTCCATTTTGGGCCTTTTACGGCTTCGTCGGGGTTCATGGGTGAGAAACGGGGTGATCATGCTATCGCTGATGCTCACCAGCTGCGATCCTTTCAAACTCTCGAATCACGATCATGGCATGGTCTGGCTGCAGATAACAGGCTGGAAAGCAAAGCCAGAAAGCGTGAAACCAGAATCTCTGTACGAAGAGAGCTTTCGTCCCAGCTCCCCCGCCGCTTTCGAGTCGCTGCAAAGTCGACACGAGGGCCCCGCTAGTTTGGCTTTTGGGTGGATGTTGTAACCACATTGCCATCTGTGAGCTTTCTGCTGGCTGTAGCAGCAGTTCAAGGACTGGAAACGACACAACGGTCCGGCGCTTGATGGAAATCGAAACCTCGCTTGGAAAAAAGATGACCGAGCTCGGAGACACAGACTCTTTGCTAAATATCAGAGAGACTGCTCGGTGTAACGGCCGGGTGATAATGGCTGTGCCTGCGGCAGACAAGTGCGCACTATCCAGTGCTAAAAGCACAACTCATTTTTTCAGCTTCGGCCGTGGGATGAGTAGTTTCTCTTTGACAGGAAGGGTCATACGAAGACGCTTCTGTCCCGCTCGTTCACTGGGTACGTCGGGGTCCTTCCTGTAACCAAACTCGACACCGGATGGGACTTCGACGGCTGCTGAGGTAACGTCCTCGTACACAGCTCCTTGGCGCTGTTTGCATGCAGAGACTTGCATCCAGATCCCTTGGCAATAGAAACATACCCACGCCGGGCGTCAGTCACATGCCAACAGATCAATTTTTGGTAGTGGCACTGGGTGCCGCCCGTACTGTTGGTTGAGCCATGTTAATTACGTAGGTTCAGGGGTTTGAAGATATGAGAGTGAAGGACGCTGTGATAGACTAGGGGTGTTGGGAGTAATTGTTGCCAAAAGCCTGTGGCAGAAGTTTCTGTTCGACCGGGGAGATGCCCTTTCTGTGTCTCCATGACGGGTCCAGAAGCTGGTCAACGGGGAAGCAGCGATGAACACTGTCCCGTAGCTTCAAAGGTGAGTTCGGAGTCGGTCATGGCCACCCTCAAGGATGAGCTGACTGCGTTGCATGATCAAAGCAGCATGGCAGCAGTGGGCATGTCAAACATTCACCTGGGCAAGAGTATTTACATGTCATCACCCCTCTGGATTGAGGGTTTAAGGGCTTTAACGGCTAAAGGCTCTGAACGTCCCATGCATGCACCGTGTCAAGGCAGCAGTACAGTGGTGGCCACGGAACGCTCCACAGCCATCCTGGATGACGCTGTGCCAGCATGTGCGAGGGGTGGTGGTTGTCGTCAGGCCACATGTGGCTAAAGGGGTCATTAGAAGCCGGTCAGCTCAGGAGCGCATGACGGACGTCCGGCGTCAGAATCTTGGCTGAAGAAAGGAGGGCTTGGAGCCCGCAAGAGCCTTCATGCCACTTTGACTTTCTGCATGCTCTGCAAGGAACCTCATGATCATGGATCTTCTGACCAACGCCAACGACGGCATCCAGACCAATGCTGACAGCCTCCAAGCCATCCGAGGCTTGGGCGTTTTTTTTGCGCGGGTGCTCTATGAAGTCTTCAGACAATCGGTCAACTATCTCACCTGAACAATCTAGCTTCTAGATGTGCTCTCAAATATGCCGAAGTTCTTGTACAACGTGAAACGTCTGCTGGGATTCTCAAACGCTCCTAAGCCGACTCGTACATGTTTCTCGAAAGTAGATCACTGCCCGGTGAATTCGAGGCTCGGGCGCAAGTGCGTGGTGTCCTGTACGGGGTAAGTCCAACGAGAGATTGGGACAATGGGACGTAAGAAAAGGTGGCTTAGGGGTTTCCTCAAACTGTAATTCGTATAGTGACTCCGTCTACAAGGGGGAGGGGTCGAGTGTGCGCT